TGTTGATGTAGTGGGGAACCCAGATGGGGGCTAAATGTCCCACTAGGGGGTACTGGAAGTAAAACATAAGAGCCCTTAGCTGAAATTATATGATTTTCCTTATTGCCACCTTCTGTTGCTTAATTCGGACATTCTGAAAAATGTGATGAGTTTATTTTAGTTTGTTTTTTACTAATGCAGTAATTAGGTGTCCTATTGCTTTTTTAATTGCAAATTTCTTTTTTAAAATGGAGTTTTGGCACAGAATTGCTGAAAATTTCCAAAAATGCAAGCTTGTGGCTTTACAAAACTTCTTTAAAATTAAGATTTTTCCATTTTTGTGAACATTTTACTGTTATATTTATACATGTATATTAGTCTACATGTATATTCAAACCAAAAAATAGCATGATAGATTGTCTAAGCTGTCCTATGATATAATCTTTGAGATGATTTTGTTATTATTTCACCACCAGAAGTGTGTTATAGTTTCCAACTTTTTTGTGGACCATGGTTGGTGTTTGGTGGTCAGTGTCTGTAACAAATGGGAGGTTGTGACATTTTGCATGTTAATGTCTTATATACTTATGCTGCTTTTGGGTCTATACAATAGTACATCATAACATTTTTTTGTTTGATTATTAGACCATTTAGTCAATTGAAATTAAATGATATATAATGCATAAGGTACATGATATACCGAATGGACCATTCTATCAATGAAGGAAGTGGTATAATGTATGTTATAGCATACAGATGGATGCAAACCACATACTGGTGCTGATACCATATTTATTGAGGTGTTGGTGTAGTTACCAACATACACGCTCCACCTCTCTATATGGGTATGAGGCATGTGTCCTCACTTTAGCTTAAATGTGCCAGCATTATGTAGTCCTAATTATGGTCAATGATGTCTTCACAGCCCATTGATGCCCCCTCACTGGGGCTATTAGCCTTCCAATGCATCAGATGGTTGCTCAGCTATTGAGTCGATTACATTAGCAGGACCTTACAAATGTTCATTGGCAGAATACAGCTCATTTGGGTCTTTAAACAGCATTCTATGCCCCGGGATCCCAACAGGGTAGCCCTCATAATGGATATTCTTCCGTTGTTACATTTTTTTCATTCCCTCTGAAAAACTGAAAAAGTCGTTAATTTTTTTTGAATATTCATACAATTTCTGATTTGACTTCTGTTCCCATCTAGCTAGTTTCTCATTTTCTAATAGTAATGCACTATAAAAAATATAAGCATTATAAGGGTATCAGTGAGGGGTATTGGCCGCCATTGTGCCAGTGTTTAAAGGTTAGTTGCCCGGTATATCTCAATGAGGTTGCCTTAAGCTACAGGACTGCCCTGTTTGCCCTACCCCAGCAGGGGATGATTCAGAGACAATTTTATGGAAAATAACTTGAGCCATGTAAAATTATCCTCATTGATAGTCCATCTGTCAGTTTTAGATGTTCGGTGATTTACTTTCTTAGAATCTAGAATAAGTTAGTCATATGATCATATTTGAGGATTGTGATTCAATAATGAATGCATCTGATGAAATCATAAATACAAATCTCATGTTCTCATTATTTTGCGATTCGATTCAGGTGCTTTTAATACAGATTTATATCCCTTTTCAATGTTTTACCATACAAATTACCAGGGAATAACAATAAGTATTATTCCATAAAAATAATGAAAAAAATAAAATAAAAAAGAATTTTTAAGTTTCTTCACAAAGTCACATAATATACAATATACTGTACAGTATATCTGTAATAATAATTTAAGTCTTGTTTCATTAAAACATACCATTCCATTAAAAATTCATAGTTCAAAGAAACATTTTTAATGTCATGTTTCATATGTTCATATTTATCACACTTTGATTGGCTTGAAGTCTTGCTCTTTAATTTTCCACCCTAATGCATCTATTGCTGTTTATGTCTTTTAAAGGAGCATCCCAAAACCAGGGTCTTTCCAGCACTGTGTTTAAAAATTAACATGGACATAAATTCCAATATAAGAATTTCAGCCTTCATGATTTATAAACTGAAGGTGTGGTCACTCATTTTCTGGTAGATAATCTAAGCTCACACAGATGAAAACACCAAAACTTTCTTAGTCCAATCTGAAAAAATTTCATTCAGACATTTCTATTTGTTGTATCTAGTTATTATGTCAACACCAGAAGTGGTGACATATTGTTGTTGTCCCCATTTATTGTGGCGATGGTTGGTGTTCAGTGGTTGGTGTCCAGCTGTTTGGTGTTCAGTGGTTGGTGTCCAGCTGTTTGGTGTTTGGTGTCTGTAACAAATGGCCGGTGGTGACATTTGGTATGTTATTGCCTTGTGTTTCTATTGTAATATATGGAAGAAAAAACACTACAACAAAAATGTATGAGTTAGTATCTTGATTGAATATAATCTGCAATGTTTCTGAAAACTGTATATACGCCCCCCTTTGATTGCAAATCGTGTTGCTATGAGTTTCCCTGTTCAATTAAGGTTTACTTGTAAATGTAACTCCTTTACAAAGAGGTACATGTCTGATCCTAGCTCCCAGTTCCCTTGGTGATTCCATCAATCTATTGCTTCTATTTAGTATGGAGATTAATGTTGCTTTTAATGATCATTTCTGGGGTATTTAAACTATCAATGTTAGATTGTGAAGCAAATTCATGTACAACTTGACTAGAAATTGTATAGCTGTGAACATTTTGTATCGTGATACATGAACTGCCAGTGAGGATGTAATTTTAGGAACACAATTTATTTTTTATTAATTAGATAAACAAAAAAGGAAAAACAACATTCTCTTACATACTATACTAACTTTTAAGATATTTTTTATGAAAATTGACGTTTGTGTTGATGCTATAACTTCAAATAAAATAAAGACAATATAAATAGTTTTACAATATTTTGCTATGTACCTGGTATAAGCGTGTGATGTTAGTCATGTATAAGTCCGATTTGTAATTTGACTTATTCTTTTGATGAATTGTTCATTTTTTACCAATTTTCTACATGAGTTTTTACAACTTTGAGTGCTAATTGACTGAATAATTTGTTTATAAGCTCTTCCACTTTCTGAATACAGAAAGCATTTCACACTTTTTTATTGTGAGTTATTTCAATTTTTCTCGCATTGGTTATGTTTGCTTAGATACAATCATCTCACACTGATTTTCATATTCATTCTGTGTGATATAGCGTGTGGTTGGTGGAAATTAGTATTAAATAAAACAGATAAAAAAGCCAGTTGGTATTTTCAATAAAAAGGCCAGTATCTGTGTTTTGATCCTAAATAATCCTAAAATAATTAAAGGAGTGGTATCGATATGGAGAACTTTTTGAACACACGTTTCTCTTAAAAGAAAAAACTAAAAATTTAACACATTGTCTATTTAATGGTCATCTTTTGAATAGTAACAATATAATTTGAAATATATATATATATACTTTCATCTATATTGTTTTAGAAAACACATCAAATACTTGTTTTGTTCTTGGTATCGTGTTTCCAGAGTGAAATGAAACATCTTTCCGAACCTCATTGGAACAAAACGACATAAACAAAACATGTTTAGGTCTCTCAATATTGTAATTGTACAAAGGAAATTTTGGTTGATTTTAAAAAAGTATCTTGTTAATGAAATAAAAGGTTTATCTTGATTTTTATCTTTTTTTGGGGATTTTGTTTTAATTTTTTGAATACTTTTTTAAAATCAACCTAAAATTCCTTTGTATAAGTATAATATTGAGAGGTCTAAAAACATGTTGTATATGCTATTTTGTTCCAACAAGGTTCGGAAAGACATTTTATTTCATTCTCAAGAATTGGTAGAAAGGAGCAAAAACAATTGCACTAAAAAACAAAAAATGTTAACAAAAGCAGTTATATAAAATATTTCTAAATGATTTTCGCATTAAATTGTTGTCAATCAGTCAACATTACATAAAATACAGAATGTTTTCAATGATTGGTTTAAGAGAAAAACATTGTTGAATTCAGTTCTCCATATCGATACCAATCCTTTTTTTCATAATAATCTGAATATTGCACCATCAACAGACTTGGTACAAATAAAATCTATGAAAAGGGCATGACCATTATCTCTAAGTTTGTACCATAATATTGTCAGGAAAATAATATAAATATCAAAATATGGCAGTTGCACTTTTCAAAACAGAGGTATTTCAAAATACTTTGAACTTTACCATATATTTATCAAATAAGTTAAATTACAGTAATTCTTGAACTTTGATACTATTACTGATAAAACGAGGAAAAAATGTTGAGCTTAAAGTAGTAATTATGAAACGTGTACATTGTATTGTTAACATGGCGTCTCTTTAATAACACATTGCTCTTTTACCAAAGTATTCTACCTGACTACCACAGATGGGACACTATTTTGTAAACTGGTTCCTAATGATTTCAAAATGAACTAAAATTACAGTGATTATCTACAATACGCTAAATATGCAATGTTTGGCCATGAAGGGTCAGGTCTGGGGTCAAAGTATATTATAATTCTTAACCCTCAGGCAAAGAACCTAGTGGTTTTACGTTGTAATTATTTCAATTATTTCATGGCCAAATGTCATATTTTACAAGACTTTATGAGGAATCTATTAGTATTTTGAATACTCGTCAGTCTGCTTGGGCTTCGTTTTGATATTTAAGCACATTTTTGAAGAGGGGTTTTTGAAGATGTGGTTATCCATATTTTATGTTTCTAAGTCAAAATATTCTGTATGTACAACATGTAAATTAGTGACCAATATGAAGAGTTATGTATGTCAACATTGTTTCATGTGACCACCACAGGAGGTTACATTTTATAGATAAAAACACAAAGTGCTCATCAATTCTGGCTACCGAGATACATCATCAGTAGTCTCCTTCCTCGAATTTCGGGGGCTATGCAGTGGGACTTTGCCCATGGTCCGACTATATAAGATTATTATTGGAAGGCGCCACCAGTAGAGGTTAAACCTCCACCTGTATCTCTGATGGTTGCCCTAGATGGCATTGCCTACTGTAAAGATACTGGTATTGGAAAATCTCCTCGTTTGGTACTTAGTCAGTATGGAGATGTTTCTTTCTCAGCATTTAATACTGTTCTGTTCTGCATGCAGGAGGTCCATAGCATGAGGGTCAGAAGCTCTGTGGGGTTAATCCTGGCCGAGTCCCTCTACGGCTCACGCAACTACCAAATCACTGTGTTGTTACTTCTCCTCACAAAGAAATCTGTTTTACAGACCCAAAGGTTTTAGTCTCCAAATTTTTTGTGGATGGTGTTCGGCGGTAGGTGGTTTGTGTTCAGCATTCGGTGGTTGGCATCTGTGACAAATGACAGGTGGTGACATTTTTCATGTTAAATGCCTTGTTAAATTCATATGCCGTGTCTGATTCATTTATTGAAGTTGCTCACTGGTTAGTCTCATTTCTACCAGATGCAAGTACATACTTCCTCAGATAATGTATCTTTAGGCAGGCAAAACATTATGACAATACAATTGATGCAATAGAACTTATTTAATAAATCTTTTTTTCATTGTGTTTTCCAGTTGTGATCGGCACCAGATACTGGATGTTTCCTTCTACGATGAATCCACAATATCATTCCTGCTTTTAGAGACGACTGAAGATGGACTAGGGGTGCTGATACAGTTCCCTCTAGGGGACATTCCAGAAACTATGTGGACACCATTAGTAGATGGGTTAGATTATGCAAGTACGTAAATCCAAATTGTACATTTATTATGTCACCACCAAAAATTGGTGACATATTTTTATGATCTCTGTATCAGTGGTTGGCGATCTGTGGTTGTCGATCGGCAGTTGGCACCTGTAACAAATGGTGGTGACATTTTGCATGTTAATGCCTTGTATAATTTCTCAATTCATTTCTTAAAACAAAATAAGTGAATTTCTTTTGAATTCGCACCATCCCTATACTTTGATTTTGTTTCTCTATAAGAAAGCATGGGCCATTTCCATCTTTATTATATTCATCCCAGATAGCACTTATGTACAATAACATGAATTACAAATGAAATCCTCAAAAAGTAAAAATGATGCTTATTGATGAGAAACAAATCATACATGGTAGGAATATGTTCAAAAAAGTGATACATTTTATTGTATTTAGATTCTGAGATAAAGGTATATGGTAGGGTCTACAAATTGAGTATAACTTTGTTTTTATGGCTTATGATGGTTGTAACAACTTGAGTTATGTTTTCACTGCCTTCTTGATCCAGTTGAGAGAAAAGATGTTCAGACATTGGATGGAGGCACCTGCTTAGAGGGAAGTCAGCTACGACGTTTGGAGAATATGAAACCCCTCTCATTGGCTGTCAGTGGCACTAGGAACTCTGCCTGTGTAGTAAGTATATGACACTAGCCCCAAGGCTGTGTTTTAGTTCAAGCCTCAATATAAAGATGGCAGCACCTGACAGCTATGTACACTCCTGTATCTTTTGGCATATTTTAACATTCACATTTTCAAATGTTTTAAGGAATTCTAGTCGAGAGAAATGAAAAACTATTGCTTCTGGGACAAGATCATACGACTTTGACATATCCTTTTACCCTACCTATTTTGTAATTTAACGATCAACACAAATATGCCTACCATATTAAGCAGATATTAGACAAATTCATGATATAATCATGGAAAAACCGGAAATGTGTTCTCTGATGTCGGTGTGTAGGAATTTCAAATTTTGCCATGGATTTGATTTTAAATTTGTTAATTCTAAATGAACTTCAATTCATTTATGTGATTTTTATTAGTAATGCTTTGACTTCCCCGCTTTATTTGACTCTTTAATAAAAGTTAGCACTATGCCTTTAATTTCTGGTCATTTTCGTTTCTCAATGATTTTCTCTATTTCAGCTGTTTTCATCCAGACGCCGTGTCCGCCTTTTCCTCATGGATGCAGAAGATGATGATGATGACGAAGATGATGATGATTTAAATAGTACAACTCAGACCAATCAGAACGATGATAGTATTCAGCCCATGGATGATGAAGATAAAGAAAATTCTAGTTTTGAGACTACATCCTGATCAAAACAAGAACACAGATTTGATCATATTGACACCACATAACTAGCATTCAAGCGAGTCTAGTTTGGTCATTGAATTATGACAAATAAAGGCCAAGAATCCAATGATTGGACAAATGTTGCCATCGATAAACAATTATGCAAAGCACATCACAGACAATGTTTAAGTGGTCCAAATAGTGGGACTTTTACTGAAGGAATGTGTTAAAAACACATGAATGTTCATAAAAATAAATGAACAAATGAGCCTGTTCCTTAGCCTTGTAGATCATAGATGAGAATAGAATCTTTATTTCCAAGAATGTTGAACTTCATGTTGTTTAATTCATCAAAAGTTATTCCAGCCTCGTTTGAGTATATTTTCATTTGAGTATGTTATGCCACCACCAAAAAGTGGTGACATATTGTTATGGACTACATTTTTTTGTGGCAGTGGTTGCGATTGGTGGTTGGCGTCTAACATATTCTTACAACTTCCAATAACTTAACAAATAGTGTTTTGACTGACTTCAATATTTTTCAAAATCATCTACAAGTTTTCAGAAGTTCAAATCTGACTTTATATTTAAGATTTGACCTTCAATGAAAAAGGTTAAAAATGTCTTTCAAAAGTCCAAATCTGACTTTGAGATTTGACCTTCAATAACCTCCTCAAGGTCAAAAATCATCTACAAGTTCTTAAAACTTCAACTCTGACTATAGATTTGACCTTCAATGACATTCTCAAGGTCAAAAAATATTTAACCTCCAATGACCTTCTCAAGGTCAAAAAGGTATTTTTTCAACTTGCTTCAAAATGACCAATTTCTTTTTTAAATCAACTACAAGTTCTCACAAGTTCAAATCTGACTTTAGATTTGAGATTTCACCTTCAATGACCTTCTCAGGGTCAAAAAAGGTATTTTTAACTTGCTTCAAATTTCAACAAGTTTTTTTTCAAAATTATCTACAAGATCTCAGAAATTCAACTAATTGAACTAATAATATTGTGAGAAACTAGGTGGTGACATTTTGTCATGTTAATGCATTGTTAATGCTATACTTCAAAAGCATCTCAAAATTAACGCAAATTCCTGTTTTCCCAATCCCCCATTAACGGACCCTTGAGGGTCAGGGTGAAAACACTGGATATATGTGAAATAGATAGATGTTGTGAATATACTACCAAAATTTCAAATTATGATATTTACTATTTTGGTTTAAAATTTTTAAAATAAAAAAATTTGCGTACAATGATTCACCAATATACATCTTTCCACCAAATATGAAGAAAATCGGTCAACTAGTATTCAAGTCATCTTCCGGACTGACAAGGGCTTCATTATATCCCTTCTGAAATTTCACTAGCATGGCACAATATCTAATGACATTTAGGGTAGTAGGTGGCCATTTTGAAAAATGGCCCCCATTTTTATGTGTATTTTATAAGCATGGCACAGTGTCTAATGACACATTTTTTAAAATGGCCACCATTTTTATTATGTTTTTCACTATAACTCGAAAAGTAGTGGAGTGATTTTGTTCGTATTTGATATGTGAATACTATAAGCATGTCACATTGTCTTATAATACTTTGAGAGTAGCTGGCAATTTTGAAAAATGGCCACCATTTTTACGTGTGCTATTATACATTTTTTACTATAACTCAAAAAGTAATACAGCGTTTTTGTTCATATTCGATATGTGAATACTCATAAGCATGGCACATTGTCTTAAGACATTTTTGGTAGTACATGTACATGTGTGTGATTTTTTAAAATTTTATATGTGCCTACTTAAAAGCATATTACTTTTTCTGATGACAATTTGGCTACTGAGCAGCCAACCATTTTGAAAATGGTGTCCTTTCTTATGTATGTTATTTTAAGATATTTGCTAAACATTTCCGTTGTAAAAATTCCAGACATTGCTGTTCGATGGGATTTGCTACGCTTTGGCGTTGCTGTTGTCTAGTTCTAGATTTAGACATGTCAACCATGGACCCAGGGATATTTTAAAATTAAATCTTCAAGAACATTACATAAGCATTTGTATCATTATCCCACCGAACGAAGTTCGAGGGGGATATAGAAAAGCCGTCCGTCCGTCCGTCCGTCCGTCCGTTCGTCCGTCCATTCGTGTGTCCGAGCAATAACTCAAATACCGGTTGACGGATTTCATTCAAATTTTATAGGCTTATGCCTTATGGGTGTAGGACCTCAGGTCGAGAAGGAATTTTCAATATGGCCGCTTAATTCAAAATGGCGGCCATTTTTCGGAAAAAATATAATCTTCAATAACTCAAATACTAGTGGATGGATTTGGTTCAAATTTTATATGCTGTTGCCTTGGTACAAAGTAGCCTTGCTCAAGAAGACATTTTCAAGATGGCTACCAAATTTCAAAATGGCGGCCATTTATTGTAAAAAAAACGTTATCTTTGATAACTCAAAGACCATTGAATGGATTTGGTTCAAATTTTAGATGCTGATGCCTAGGGACAAAGGAGCTCTGCTCGAGAAAGGATTTTCAAGATGGCAGCTAAATTTCAAAATGGCGGCCATTTTTCGTAAAAAAAACGTTATCTTTGATAACTCAAATACCATTGAATGGATTTGGTTTAAATTTTAAATACTGATGCCTAGGGACATAGGAGCTCTGCTCAAGAAAGAATTTTCAAGATGGCAGCTAAATTTCAAAATGGCGGCCATTTTTCATAAAAAAACATTATCTTTGATAACTCAATTACCATTGAATGGATTTGGTTCAAATTTTACATGATGATGCCTAGGGACATAGGAGCTCTGCTCGAGAAGGAATTTTCAAGGTGGTAGCTAAATTTAAAAATGGCCGCCATTTTCCATAAAAGAATGAATACCAGTTGACGGATTTGGTTCAAATTCTATATGCTGATGCCTAGAGACAAAGAAGTTCTGCTCAAAAATAAATTTTCAAGATGGCCACTGAATTTCAAAATGGCCACCATTTTTCATGTTTAGGGAAAAAGGAGATCTGCTTCAAGAGAAATTTCAAAATGGCTCCCATTTTTCATTAAAAAAGTAATCTTTGATAACCCAGATACCATTGGACGGACTTTCTCTGCTACAGAAGAAATCTAAAGATGACAGCTGAATTTCAAAATGGCAACCATGTTTCATATAGACATAATCTATGATAATTCAGATACCAGTGGATGAATTTGGCTCAATTTTTTTTATTAAAACATTTTGTTCGGTGGGATTTGCTACTCCGTGGAGTTGCTGTTTTTCTAGTTTTTATTTCAAAAATAGTATCTTACAAATGGATGAGAGTGAGATGACTAATGACCTGATGAATCAGACTGGAACTAGCTGGTGATCAGAAATTATGATTTTATCAAGACAAAAAAATAATTTTTAATCCTCCATAGAAGTCACACCAAAACTGTCCTTAGTTATTGTTGAATAAACAATGTTTAAGAAGAAAAATACAGCTGTGTGAGAAGTCCTATTGTGGTAACAAATTCTATCTTCATGTCAATGGTGGATTTAAAATAAATAGTAATAGTCTTTCTAGTGAAAGTCCTGTAGCAAAAGAGGTATAAATCCATGTATAAATGTCAATTGTTCCACATCAGAGAAGTTCCTTTCAAAATTATACCCATTTCAGTGTAGCCTGTTCTTTATTATACTAAGAGATCCATAAATGACCCAGATTACATGCAGATTGGTGGGGATTAGGGAAATATAGGATATGGGCTACCTCCTTTGTTCTCCTATTCCAATATTAGATGTAGTCTGTTCTAGATATGCCAAAGGCCCAGGCATTCCAGTAAATGACTGTTGGCCAACAGGTATATGAGGATTGGTTGGAGTAGATGGCAATGATGCATGCTGTTGAGGTGTGGGCATCCGCACCATTGGTTGGTTCATCTGTTGAGCCACTAAAGGTCTCTGTGGGGACTGCAGATGTTTCTGCTGTTGCTGAAGCTGTTGTTGCTGCATGTGGTGATGCATTTGTGGGTTCGACTGTTGCATTACAGGGACTTGCTGACGTAACATTGACTGCCACTGCTGCAGCTTATCATGGTGTTTGGCTATCAACTGCTCCTTTCGTATCAGCTCTGCCTTCAAATCTTGAATTTCCTGGAAATACCATAATGCCAACAGTGGCATGAGAACACTGCAAATTGTCTGAGCAATATTGGAATTTTGGAGAAGATAATCTGGTAAGGCTATAGATCTTGCTGGGTGTCATGAGTGAACTAAGTTGACCTGATTCATAGTACACAAATCAAACCCTTTCTAAAGTTAAATGATAAAGCTCATAATTCACCACTTTCATACTATTTTTGCTTTATTTCATTTTCAAATGTTCTGACATTACTTGTTAAAAGATCCAAGTACCAACCTCTTTAACTATGAGTTCAGGTTTATTGTGAGATAGAATAAGTCGTCTTTGGAGGAACCAACTTTCTGTTTGCCTGGCATTCTCCAAGAACTTCTGTAAACACTGCTCCACACCTGCATATACAAGATATACATATCACATAGAGACGCATGTAAACAAAAAAAATATACATTAAACATGCAAAAATATGTTAACATACATGTGTAACAATACATGTACATAAGACAAACATTACACACCCTGCATGTACATATGACATACACTAAACATGTTGTTCACTCAGCTCTTAAACTGAGGTTTTCCACCTCTCTCTTACTTGCTCCTACCACTTATCACTCATATAGCTTAATTTAACTGCCTCAATCTTACAATGAATAAAAATAATGAGATTTACTCTGGTGAGTATTCATGATGAGAACCATGCTGTGTGTAAGATGACAAGAAATATGCAGTATGGTAAACCAAGTTATTAATTTTTTAAGATTCTTTAAATAAAATTTATGAGGCATCCTATGGAAGCAGAAATTGAGACAAACGGGACAAAAGGGGCAAACTTACCAACTTTGACTTCTTCTGAGTCATTGATGTTGAAATGTTCCTGGCTTGTGAGACTGGAGTAAGCATTCTGCAAAACAATAATATATGATACATTGCAATAGTACAAAAGCCATAAACATGAAAAATGTCACCACATGTCATTTGTTAGAGGTGCAAACCACCAAACACCAACCACTAAATGCAAAACACTGTCTAAAAAAGGTTTGGAGACTTTAACAATATGTCATCACTAGTAATCGTGACATACTACTGTAGAAGTCTGAAGTTGTCTCAAAAAGAATTAAATTGATTGTCAGGAGAATTTTTTTGAACAGGTTACAGACACTATATTAAAAGTGTCAATTTCCAATTTTAGAAAAAAATTGAATTGAACAATTAATAATAGTGATGGTATTGGATACAGGACCAATTGTTGACCTCTCCAGAGGTGAACCGGCAAAATTGTATACCGAGACTGTAAACCGAGAAACTACTGTTGACAGAGACCGAAGGTCGAGGTCAACAGTAGTTTCAAGGATTACAGTCGAGGTATATGATTTTGACGGTTGACCGAATGGAGAGGTCTACAATTGTTTTGTTAGTCCGAAGAAATTAATAATACACATATAGACGGCATGGCTTCATTTTACAATCTTTTCTCCGAACCACATCAGCAATATTTTTCTTAGAAAATCTGAAGACAGTGGTAGCTAAACTCTTTGTTTTCGGCACATCACTGCGTACTCACTGTAAATTAATGTTAATTTTACGTTTCTATTTGTATTTTTGCTATACTTGTCTAGTAAAGTCAAAATATCATTTTCATCAATGTTTACAAAATGGTCAACAGTACCTAGTAGCGGTCAACAGGTCGTATTGTTGACCGCGAATCAACCAATCAGAATCGAGTATTTCAGTTGAGGAACTAACAATTTATATTGTCAATCAAAGAGAAAAGAGTAAAGGTGCTCACAAGGCTCTAGAACTATTCGCAAACTAAAATTGGAACATTAAAAAGTGGTTTGACATTGAGAATAACTGAATAATGAGACCAAATTTTAGGAGTTATTGCACAAGTCACCCCTGCATCTCCTACAAATATATTTATTCATTTCATGCAATTATTGAAATTTAAGCATGAATGTTTTTGGCCCACTCTGTAGATAATGGGTATGTTGTCTAGGATCAGCCGGGTAGGAGAAACAATCATTATTGAAATATATCAGCTATATCTATTTTAAAAATTATAATAAAAAGCACATTCAGCAAATAAATATTTAATCCATTTTATGTTGAAGAAAAAATTACCTGAAATGATGCTTCCAAGTCATCTACAACATTGCTTGCCATTGTGACAGTTGCTTAAGGGTATCTGGTAGTTGAATGCAAGCCTTACATCATTAATACCATCTGAAAATCAATCAAAATGGTGAAGGATATAAGGGAGGGAGTTACAGTCTTGAAGCTAGACTACATCTGTTTCAAGTATGAATTTACACAGGGCTGTAGTCAAGATTTACCAAGGGGGCTCTATTTTTCCCCAGTTGGATTTCATTTATAATAAAAATGGGAGGGGGAGGGTTCGAGCCAAAGGAGTAGACTATATCCTCTTGTCTGATATTTGAAAAAATGAAAATATTCAGACTATAACCCACATTTGTTGAAATTAGGTATTAAAAATAATTGTCTAAAGTGCTCTTCAAAACGGCTGATGGAGTAAATCAATTGGCATTTGTTACTTCCACAAGCTTTATTTCCACATGACAATTTTATTGCATTAAATTGTACCTTACTACTTAATTGATATGTTATTTTGATTTGTTATTTTGTGAAGGTTCCTACAATTTCTACAGGACAGTTCATAACATGATAAGTAGACTGTTGGATACAAACTATATTATATGAATCACAATGGACACAGTTTCAATGAACAATCAAATTATGGAATATAGTAAGAGCATCATCAAATAGATAGTATAAATGTGCCATTCATTGTACAAAAATAGTCATATTTCTGTGAGTGGGGCTCATTCCTTGGGGACCGGGTAGCCGGCAGTGGCGGATCCAGGAACCAACAGGGGGGGCCCAAATTTGAGGTCAGAGAAAAAACCTCGGGGCTTGCGCGGAAAAAAATTGTGGGCCCCTAAAACCGAAAAGTGGGCCCAAATTTAGAAAATTTGAGGCCCATTTTCTTCAAAATATGGCCTAAAATTTAAAAAACAAGGCCTTAGAAGGCCCAATAATGACCAAAAAGCCCACTTTTTGGGGCCTTAAGGCTTTTTTTGGCCTAAAATATTATTGAGCCCAACTTTTTTTTCGAGGTCTCCTCTGCCGAAGGCAGCGCAAAGTAGGAGCGTAGCGACTACTTTGCGGGAGACCTCGATCCATTGATCAGGTTTGCTCCTGTAATTATTCACTTCTTCACCTCTTTAAAATGTGATTTCAATCAGTGGATCAAATTTTCGGACTTTGACCTCAAATTCAAATATTAATATTTATAAGAAAAAATACTGACCCATTATTATATTTTTAAAAGTCTTTCAAATAAAGTGAAATGAAGCCAAAATCAGCTAAAATTATGCAATGTCGCAAAATGGCGTGACTGGAATATGATGCAATCAATCACCTGTGACGTCAGACACGTATTGCCACATCAATAACCAAACAAACAATCAATATAGACTTCACTGATTGGTTTAAAGATTCTTCGCACCATTTGTGACGTCGTAAGCATGTTACCCAACCAACAATTAAACAAATAACAAATAGGCATTAGGTTCGTTCAGTGCAACGCTCTTGAATCAGTTATAAACAGGATAATCAACAGATATAAGAGAGGGTCGGGCATTTTTTGACTTGGAGACCTCGACTCGAGGAGTTTGCTGCATTTTCTTGTTTTCTGGGCCAACCTTATGGGCCCCCCCGGATCCGCCATAGGCCAGTTGAACGGATTCTTAATGTTCCTACCAGTGTTAATTTGATATTTCATTTTATGCCTCAAAACGCCCAAGTGACCAATCAAGCAGCTAACACCATCAATCATGTGTAAACTGCGATGTAAAATGTGGACTTAGGACTTCCGAATTCAGTCGGTTTCGTGTTCATATTTATACAGAGGATATCTTGTGTAAGCAGGTAGCCATTCATTTTTTCTGATATTGAGAAAGTAGTCGATTATTTTAAAAAGTGCCCCTAGCCTCTTACACGTTCTTGCTAAAAATGCTAACGTTTAGATATCAAACGGTAGTCTAAACTTGGGCTGCTTGGGAGGATACATGTATGTCTATTGAGAACTCGACAGGTCAATTAGCTACTATATTAGGGCAAAATGTGCAACTTTGAAAGTTGGTAACCCTGCTAGGAACGTTAGGAACTGGATCACCTAGAATGTATCAAACAGACTGAATGAGATTCATCTGAATCTATTCAGACAAAGGTCGAGAACCCGGTCACCTGGTTTTTACACAAACCCTCATTCCTGGCCTTGGGTAGGAGACAGTATCTTTCAGAAAAGGTGGTTGTCACCGGCCGAAAGGGGGTTCAGTTTATCCCGTACCAGGACTATAGTCTATAGTCCTGGCACAGGATAAGGGTTCAGTCAGTATGTTCAGATACTCATTAGCTTACCTTCTTCTAAGGCCACTGTATCGTGGCCTTCCAGTACAGATATATTCCTGCATGAACAACTGGTCATGTCGTAATCATAAAATTTGAAATCATATGTCCGCCATTTTTCCACATCACAATTTGAATTGCGAGTTTTGGTCTTATTACCTCACCAAAAATTCCAAAACACACACAAAGTGATCAGTGTATTAGTTCACATCTTCTGGATCGCTAACTTAGAATATACAGCCAGTTACTTATGTCAGACGTAACGACATTTCGTCCAGTTTTCGAACATCGCCATTTTTCTTGGAGCCATTTTGTTTTAATTTTAGACGAAATCCTGATGAAATCATGTCATATCTCATCAAGGAGCCGAGCTGGGTCCGGTTTGATTAATGATTTATTTATCTGGCGATTTTTAAAATATTCAATAAATTTATGACACCCCGGCAGCTTTTTTCAAATAGAGTTCACAGTATTCCAGATGAATCCCCTCTAGCCAAGTATTGGCTAGAGACTCGAGTAATCATTAGCAAACCTACCATCTAAAATAGCCTACAATTCCAAATTTTTCCATAATAAAATGTGAGACTCTGCATGAAAGTTCATGAAACAGAATCTGTGTGACTAGCATGTGTTCCAAAAAACTCTAAAGCTAATAGCAATGAGTCCAAGACTAGTTTACAAATATCATTAACTATAAACAACATTTATGCAGCTCTGATATGAACAAAAATACCTACCTAATATCAATTTTTTATTTTCAAAGATTGCTTGGAACTATTTTATGCGGATGAATATTAGATCATATTCTTTTATTAAAAGTTTCTGATATTTTATATCTATAATATCTAAACCCGATATATCATCATATGATTGATAATATAACACATATTCTAATATTGATTTCTAGCTATCAAAAGGAAAAGGGCCAGATTATATAAGCACTATTTTATGCCCATCAACTTCCGTTAGTAAATGTGCTGTTTGGTTTAGAAAAGGTGAGAAAAATTTTCCTCTTCAAAGCAGTAATTTACTAATTTATCGATATTATACGCTATTTGTTTCTATTTTAACAGATTCAAGTGTAGCATATACTGAGTGTGATTGACTTATTTCACAGATCGGATCAATAGATTGGGTTGATTTCCGCGATATAATTGTACTTCCGGTTTCAATAAAATTCTCAGAAAAGAAAGTTCAGAATCAGATAATGAGATATCAGGATTCACAGGCCCATGAACCCGCATCAACACCTGGTCAATCTTGACACATGGGGGGAATTTACTGCATAGAAGTAGCATAGAATTATGTTTTCGTGCAGCTTGGATAGAATTGCCCTTCAAGCTCATAATTGCAGAATCATTGATTTTGATCAATTTCCGCAGAATTTCCAGCGCAGTTTTTCACTGCACATTACAGTCGATATAAAAAAACATTTGTCATGATGTTTTGCCTCTCTTAGCGAAAACAAATTAAAATTAACTTGTGATATCAACTGTACAGCTACAAAAGTAATTTTGATGTGAAACGCGTATTACAACACGTAATACTGTTTTTAATTGGAGGAGTTCCTCTATCATTAATATAAAAGCTATTGGTGAATGTTATTGTTGTAATCAAAGTACTGCATTAAATGAGGCTTGTGTACGTAATACCATACACTACTCATTTGATTATATTGTATATATTTATTATTATGCATATATATCTGTTGTTTAGCTTTGTGGACTATGTACAATATACTCGATTACTTGTAAAAGTAAAGGTTACATTGTACAGACCAACAATGGTCAAACATATTTTCTATTTCAGGATAAAATACTGCTCAACTACCTAGATCATGTATTTATAAAACAGCTACCAATCATGTAAAACCACACTCTGAAGTTAGCATTATAACATGGATTTACTAATTAGTGAAGATGATGCAACACCTCCACCTCCTAGTGGTAGGTCTGGAAGGGCCAATAACAGACATCGCCCTAGTGAAAGGCGAAGATCAGAAAGATCACGAAGGAGTAGACGATCCAGGAGCAGAAGACGACATAGATATAAGCATAGGGAACGAAACTTTGTGGCTGCAGTGTGCACAACTATAGTTATAGTGACTATATCTACTGCTCTAGCAGAGCCGAATTGGTTTTACTTGAGAGGAGGTGGATGTAACACAAAGTATCTGGGGGTATTCCAGTTCTTCTATATTGGAAGCTTTGAGCAGTCGAGTGGGGATGTTGGCGTTCCGGGCCAGGTTGTCCAGCCAAAGTTTGTCTACTATACTGGGCCCGGTACAGAATCAGGTCAGTACATCTCAAGAATATGCTATGACTATATTGTCTTAACCCTTTCCTGACATGAATATAAACGGAAAAAGTTGGCCCTTGTGACGGATAAGTAAGAGCAGTTATGAGGCGATAACTGCAAATTACCTCCGCCCTGGGACCTATATCTTAAATTTTATTACTTAAATACAATTTCTAGTAAGAATTATCACATTAGAACAACTTGTCAAAATTTGGTGTAAAAATATTCAATAGAACTTAAGATATTGTCATTTCATTGATGTGTATAAGAAAAAATAATGGTGCCAAAAGGAGCCTATCGTCCTGAAAGGTATTACATAATAGGGCTCCATATGGAGCCTATCGTCGTGAAAGGGTTAAATTTTACACTCACTTTAATATAGCAAAGCGATACAGCTAAAACCAAAAATTAAATAATGCCAAATCATTTAAATAAACACATTGGGAATGCATGATTAAAGAAGCAGTAAAAGATATGTGTTCTAATAAACACGTCAAACTTCCCCTTATGACTTGAATGAGATAAGTAGGAAAGTTACAGAAAATTTAAAAATGTCCAAATTCTTTGAAATCAAAAATATGACATCTATATTTTCAGGAAATTATTGTAAAACAATTTATCAATTATACATTTTCATGAAATAAAGTTAGAATGCAGTATAAGTTTGGAAATAAGGAAGTGAATAGAAGTTCAAACATAAAATCAGATTTACGTATAAATGTTCTGAAGTAAACCTTGTTATTATATATCATTTATATTTCATATCCTTAGACATATTTCCCTGTTGTCAAGGTAATATCGACAAGGAGATCCTGCTTTTAACCACTTTCAAAAGATAACTCATTCAATCAGTGTATGAAGAGTATGTTCAATAATAATATTACCAATTTGAACATCAAGTATTGAATATTAAGAGTATGACACTTGTTCATATTACAAGTTTAACACACACACTGTTCACATGTGATGCTACTTCAAATGTCAGTCAATTGTTGTTCAATATATTATAATTCTATTTTCAGTGTTGATAAATTGTGTGACGCCACAAGTGGTTCAGATTATGCGGGGTGTCATAGCCCTCTGCTTCCTATCCATTCTCAGCAGTCTCTTTGCGTTTGTCCTGGATCTGTTTGGTCCTTCTATGAAGACTCTCCGCACCCTCAGACGTAATGCTGTTGGAAACATAGTAACAGGTTGGTATGGAAGAGAAGAATGATGAACTTCTCCATTTGCTATAAATGGAGCAATTTGTTATATTATATAGAATATTTAACGTGTGACATTTATGTTTTTTAAGTTTTTTTTAACTAGATTAAGGTGGAATTGATGCGATCAAATTAGAATGTAATATTGTACTTCTGTGTAAAATTTTACATCAGACAACCTGATTACAATAGTAACATTTAAATGGATAACATCATGAAAAAGTTCATAATTCTCTAATTTCTCCCCAAAAGATTCTATTAAATATAACAATATTTACTAATATGAAAATTTTCATATTTGCAGTATTGCTCTGTGTACTGATCAATGGATTCTGTTACTGGGTGACACAAATAATTGAACAATTACAGCATGATACAAAGCTCCACAAAGGCAGTAAGATCATAGTGACATTTGATGTTAGTTTCTATCTGATAGCTGGAGCAGGCGCAGTGTCTGTGATTGCCACTGCATGTAATCTGCTGAAACGTTACCCTGTGTATGAAGAGGAGGCGTCCGATCGAGAACACTTGATGGATAACTACGATGACATGGACCCTGTATCAACTGAGGGCCCTCCTGTGGTACCTTCCACTCAGCCGGTACCATCTGTCCCCCCTCCCGCATATTCCCCATAGGAGCACCTAGAATTAGGATTAATACTCAAAACGCTTTAAATATATGATGGCTTTGAACACCAGCAAGCTTTAAATATAATCAAGAATACAAGGTTCAGAGCACCAACGAATATCCAGATTTGAGCAAGATTGTTTCAATGTCTTCCGATGGCATTGATGGCTTTTAGGAACATTGAACCTGACTGGATTTCCCTAAATACAATTTGGCTTTATATATAGTAAAGCAGTATGGACACTAAATAAAACCTGGAACACCAGACATTTCCATCTAGTATATCACCTCAGTACTGTCTAGAAAACTATCAGAATCGAATGAATGGATTGCAGTTTGAATACTATAGATTTACATTATTAAGCAAATGAATGACTTTAAAACTTTTATGACTTTTATTTTGATTCGTTCTTGCCTAGAGCCTCCCAATGTCGGCCCATATTAGAAGAACTCAAGCTGCAAAGTTAATGGGACATATTGAATCTCAAACTTACATACACCTGAGCTCTAGTAGTAATTTCCTTGTAATATAAGATCGTAAATATTTGATAAAGCACATATCGTACATTGATGTGTAACTATTTAATATGAGTGTAAATATTTCTAGACATCTTGAATTCTGCAGAGCTTAATTAATATGCTGTACTGATACATAGTAATACGTAATGCTGTGCAAGAAAAGACTTGTAAATAATCCATGATTTTGCAGTATGTTTAAATTAAAAGGACAGAGCCTTTAACTCTAAACTCATATACCCCAAATCTGAAATTTCAAAGCAGCCTTCAATTTGAACCATCGGCAGGCTTTTATACTATTTTTCTGTATGAACTAAAGAATGAAAAAATCCTTAAAGGCCCCGTGTAAAGTTGGCTTTGACTACAATGTAAGCCAAAGTGGTTGATACTTTATATGGGACCTTTAACTAGTAAGTAGCATGAAGCGCATAAATTTTAAGACAGTTATGCATATACTATAATTTAAAGAATGTGATTTAATCACTTATTACTTGGGCATATTTTCAAGCTGTACTAGTTACAGGAAAAGGTTGGTATCAAAGTCTGAGGAAGTTATTTTGAAATTTGGTATACATGTATTTAATAATTGTCAGAGTAAAGCACATATTTCAATTATATTAGTAGTAATGTATGTTTTCATATAAATGTAGTTTCTGATATATATTCAGGATATAAATAATGAAGGATAGATAAATATCATATATCCAAGATAGGCATAAATTATAAAACATAACCAATTTTCCATGTGCAATTTGAATAATTTAGGTAGGTCTGATGAGTGATGTCTTTTGGACAAGTGTGACATTAATAAGCCAGAATTACTTTTAGGGGGACTGTCTGTAATTTTAAAAACATATGATGCTATCCAAAAATGATTTGTAAATTAAACCCTATTCCTGTAAATATCAAATATTGAAAACACTGTTCACAATAATGAATGAGTAGTTATTCAAAAAGGTGAGATGGTCCTCATTAATTTGGTACTTGTCCCGATGTCTTGGTATTTTAAGTTATAGCCACCATTTATGTGACTGTGTAAAACTGCAATCATCATGAGTATCAAATAGTTTTGTAAACTTTGATATATTCAGACTTAGGTTCAGATTTATTGAATTTGTCATTTTTAAAAATTAATCTGTTGTTCATAGGATCTAAGAAATAGATTAATGTTTATTATGGCAATTAAAATCTTAAAATGTCAAAATATACAGTTGCCGTTTCAGTGAAGTAATAACCTTAGTGTTAATGTATAAAGACAGTGATGTAATTTTTTTTATATTATATATATAGTGAGAACATTATATAGAAATATACATACATGTACATAATATTAACTATTGCAGTTTGAGTTATTGTACTAGAGTAAGAGTATATCATATTCTACTTGGTGTAAAAGTATTGACATACAGTGCAACATAAATCAGAATTGCCTGCTTAAAAGTAGACTGGGTGAACTAGCTTTCAAACTTGGTTTTGAGTGTGTGCAAGTTAAAATATGAAGAATCTAATCTACATGTATTTGCTAGTATAGGGGTACATTGCCAGAACATTATATTCTTAATTGTTGTAGACATAGAAAACGTTATATTCTTGAATTATCGTCGACATAGAAATCATTGTGTCTTACTCTTAGTAAAAAACAATAGTGATAGAGCATAACTAGCTGTTCTGGCGTCCAGCCCATTTTACTCAGTCTTACTTTAGCCATGATCATTATTATTTCAATGCATCTTTATATGAATTGTTATTGAAACCACAAAGAGCAAAATCAAGAAGTACATAATGAGTTTTTACATTTTAGTGTTACAATATAATGTGGTCCATTTAGTTTTAGTATGATGAATCCATTGAGGTTCAAAAGTGGCCACCTTGATAACCAACACATTCACTTTGTTCATTTTAGCACATTGTAAGAATGGAAAAACATAACTTTAGAGATACAACAGTTTTGCATCAATCCTTTTGTGCCCTCCCCAATTATCTATTCCCCTAGCCAGACTTGTTCAGAAAGTGTATTGTAGGGGGAGGGCACACAGATTTGTTGCAAAACTTTTCTTTATGAAGCATTTAGTTAAAATGTGTGGGATATTCTGTTGCTGTCTGTAGGTGCCCAGTTAGCTGCTTATGTGATGGCCCAACTCGAGAGTAAACTACATTTGGGCCCAATAACTGCACTGCATTTCTTGGATCACTGTAATCTACTATTAGCAGGTTAGTTTTACAAGCTCAATTTACAGGTGTCCCATTGGCGCACATTTTGCCTGCTTCACATGGTGAAATGGAATCAACCATTTGACCATCAATCCTTCTGTTGATCCTGAAACAATTTTTCAGACAAATGAAAACTGTCTATTGTTTGAACTAATACGTTGTCCTGGCTCTTGCTTCTGTCTTGTTTCGGAGAATTCACTGTTACTTTCAAATTCCCAGATTTTTTAGTTTACTCTGGACACCATAGATTTTGCAAAAAATTCGACTCGGAAATTGGCCTACTTTGAAAAAAAGTATTCTTTTTATATTCTAAGTTTCATATTTAATAAACCACTTTAGGCCTTAATATGCTACAGTATGAAGTTTTTTGCAATTTTCTCTGCATATGAATTAATTCTATTGTAGGTGAGGGGCCATATATCAATGTATATGATACAGATACAAATTTGCTTGTGTCAACATTTTGTGCACTGCCTCACCAAACAGTACATGGAATTATCAGCAGAGGGCGTCACTTATGCATTTGGGGTGAGAAATATCTACAATCCATTGTCGTGGAGTCTCAAACATCCTCTAATAGAAGGTACTTAGTATACATGTACTTTTATTTTTCATTTCACATTCAGTCTGGAAACTCTAGGGACAATGAATGTAACTCTTGAATATTTGAATTTTGAAAGTAAAATTGTTGACTGATGTTTTAATCAAGTAGTTTAAATACCATGTTTGCTTAACTATTGAAATATGAATTCCCGAAATTGAACCATAGCAACTCAATGCTAGAAACTTATTTTTAAATATATGAACAATATATGGAGAATCCCAATAGAAATGGAAAACAAAAAACCAAAAAATAAACCAAAATAAATGAAATGGTTTAAATGCAACATTTTCAGGTTACAAAAGAACGGAGAAGGGATCCTTTTCCAGGACTGGATTTTGAATGTGTGCTGGCTAGGGACTGGAGAGGGAACTGGGGAGCAGATTGAGGAGTCCCCTGTAGAGGTTGCTTTGGCCCTGGCTCACAACACAGTTATACACTACAATCTACTAACTCGGCAAACACTTCATGTTTCACACTGTGTGGAGAAATGTATCTTGTATCCTTTACAATATTGTGTATTTATGCAGCTGAATAATGGTGAGGCTGTCACTCGGAGGAATAATGACCCTCTCCTGATTAATCCATACCTTATTTGGGGCAATGTACAATGTAGGGATAGGGTGGCGGGGTAAGAAAATTAGGGACTGTTTACAATGCAGGATGACCTGATTAGGGTGTTCTTAATATTGCAATGTCAAAATCGGAAGAAAACGGTCGAAATACAATTTTTATGTGGCATTGTTTAATGAGTCTTTAATGAGATATTAGATATAGTAGCAGGTTTCTTGGTTCATGCTGGGATGATATTGTACTGGCTGCAGGGACAGTGTTTAATCAAATTATCATATGGAAACCATCTACACAGCAGATACATGAAACAGAGCCACCATCTTCTGTCCATGATATAGGAGAACAAAACAGAATTGAAGTGATGCACCGGTTGGATGGTCATCAGGTATTTTATTACATTAGTTAGTACAAGGTTTATTGTCATAAGGATGAACCACTTAGCATCTTCATCTAAGGACAGCATTAGTCTGAGCAAAAACAAAACAACATATACCACTATGGTGGCATGGTTCATTTTCCAGACTTTTTAGCCTCAGCATATGCAAATATATGGTCTTGTATTGCTTTTTCCATGTGTCCTTTCTTATTTTCTTCACATTACAAATCTTTTTTTGCCCTTCCCTAAAAGCTAAGTTCTGGAATAAAATGCAACCTTTTTATTTAACAATATAACACCAGTTCAAATCAAATGGGATTACATTATTTTATTCTTGACCAAGGACATTATATCAATATGAAAAACCCCTTTCCTCTAATCAGTAAAATAGATATATTGTCTTGCATTAAAGATTCAGAATTTTTAAGACACCTACCACTACCAGTACTTGAGGACTTCATCATAGGTGTTTACATTTCTGCATCTTATATCTTCATGTGTGTGTAGCTGCCGAAATTACTATTTTCATGAATATGGGGCAAATTCAGGATTTCTGTATGGGGCCTTTAATTGCTATCTGTACCTTTACAGTATTCTAATTCATCGTGTGCATGTATAATATGTTTCAGGGGGTCATATTTTCCATTCATTTCCACCAGAAACATGAATACCTTGGCAGTGTCTCAGATGACCGCAGTCTCAGAATATGGAAAATAGAAGGACTCCAATTCCAAGGGGACTTGCTGGGCTGGGACCAAGCAACATTTACTGTGGTCCATGTATTATTTGGTCACTCTGCCAGGCTATGGGATTTCTGTATATTACAAGACTATTTTGTCACAATTGGAGAGGTATGCTACATGCAGTACTTGTTTGATTAGATATGAATAAATTTAAATGCACATTGCACAACTAGGAATAGATATTTTTTCAAAATCTTTACCTCATAAGTTTACCACCACATACATTGTAACTTAATGAAAATCTGAATTCTTTGTACACATTTGTACTTTGTATTCCACTTGCGAACATTGCAGGATGCCACATGCTGTGTATGGAACCATCAAGGAAATGTTGTTACCAAATTCACAGGTCATAAGGTGAGTAAAATTATTTGAGCTGGTCTCTTACTGGCAGAGCAGTTTATTTTGTAGAAATATAGAGAAATTAACATTCAAATAAATATCGATCTCAAAAAATTGCATATCGTACTGAATCGCTACAATTTTTAATGGTGTCACTCATGCAGTATCTACAATATAAGTTATTGAATGATTTGAAGTGCAATACAAGATATATTCTGCTCGAGAAATTCTGTATTGGAATGAGATGAAGTCGAGTGCCAATACAGAATATCGAGAGCAGAATATATCCTGTATTGCACTTCAAATCATTCTATAACGTTTTTATCGTGAGATCCTCTGTATTGCTAATGAGATTATCCCCTCCATACCAATATTTTCTGTATTGCGACGGAGATGATCAACGAGGACAATCTCAGTAGCAATACAGATTGGTACAGCACAAGAACTGACCAATCAGAAGGCTTCATTTTACAGATCATATGATAAATACATTTACAGACTTTAGAAAAATGTAAAAAAAAATATGAAGGACCTAAAAAGGATATACAAAATGGTAAAAGGAATGGAACTGATCGAAAACAGACAGAAAATGTGGAACAGATTGACCACTTATGATCAATAATATATTGGTGAAATCCTTCATGTTATTTTACTCAATGTGTGATTCATGGGTTGCAAATTAAATGCATCCAATCATGTGTTTCAGGGTAAAAGCATTCGTGCTCTTGCAGTCAATGATGAAGAAACCATTGTGGTAAGAATATACATTTATAAGATAATAGTGGCATTATTTATTTAACAGCCCTCGTATGTTTGGAGCATATATTTGATTGACTCTGAAATTGTTGTCTGTATATAATTGTATTTAATCTTAAAAGATGGCAGAATCATCATCATTAACTTTATGAAATTTAACATATAGATAATGGGCTGTATTCAAGTTATTGCTATGATTTTGGAATTAAATGTCTTCGTCTAGTCTATATTTATAGATTAAGAAGCCTTTTTATATATTTCATGGTTTCTAAGGTCGATGACTGTAGGACAAAGTTTACTCCATCATTCTAAATGTAGGACATCCTTTTCTGTTGCACAGCTGTGTAAGGATAAAACAATTGCTATAGTTTCCAACATTGTTGTGGATGATATCTGGTGGTTGGTGTTTGTTGATTGACAGTTCAGTGGTCAATTTCTGATTGGGGTTTGGCATTCAATGGTCAGTGTCTGATTGGTGGTTGACATTCAATGGTCAGTGTCTGATTGGTGGTTGGTATTCAATGGTCAGTGTCTGATTGGAGTTTGGTATTCAATGGTCAGTGTCTGATTGGCGGTTGGCATTCAATGGTCAGTGTCTGATTGGAGTTTGGCATTCAATGGTCAGTGTCTGATTGGTGGTTTGCATTCAATGTTCAGTGTCTAATTAGAGTTTGACATTCAATGGTCAGTGTCTGATTGGAGTTTGGCATTCAATGGTCATCGTCTGTAGCAAATGGCAGCTGTAACAAATCGCAGGTGGTGACACTTTGCATGTTAATGCCTTGTTTTTCATATATAAAGGCATCAGGAGGAGGGGACACTAGTATTAGACTTTGGTCCTTGAAGCGTGACAAAGACCCTACAACATCAACCGTACACATAAACACTCACCCATCTTCCCTAAGAGATGGGGTCTCTTCAACAGATTCCACAGAAAGTGATACAATTTCCTCAAAATGCCAAACTGTATCCATGTCAAATGATTCAGCAACTCCTAGGAGTGTTGGCATAGTGGATCACACAGGCATTCTTGTCATGACACACCAAGGGTAAGTTTATATGTTATCATGACCCACCAGGTATATGATTACAGCTCATTGTGACCATCATATCAAGATGTTAGGTTGTTAATAACTATGTTATTTATGTTCATGTAGAGTATAGATATGGCCGTGAGAGTCGTACATGTAAAATTATTAATATAAAATTAATATAAATAAATATTGAGCCAATTAACACAAAACACAATACCTTGGAAAATAATGGCTAATTTAAGTTAATTAGCTACAAGAGTTTACAATTTGACATAACTGTTAATTAGCTCAATTGGATATATTATAATACCATCTCCAACTCATCTTCTTGGGCGAAAATAAATCTCCAACTGGTGGTGTAAGCTGGGGAAGGAGGTGAGGGAAAAGAATCGAAATGTATAACTTACATTGATGTTGATGGATTTTGTACGCACCTAGGGAGAAAACCCTCCAACTACAATCCTATCGATATCTCGTCTAAAGTCTCATCTCGTACTCTCGAGATCTGAAGCTTGATGTTTCGTTCAGTGTAACTTACCAGAAACATTTACCTGGGATAACCGGGGAATGGTCTTCTTAGGGCTTGTTCATACCTAAACCTTAACCGACTCTCACATTGCCATAAATGAAATTATTGTCAATAATTTGAATTTATGTTCATGTAGAGTATAGATATGGCCGTGAGAGTCGTACATGTAAAATTATTAATATAAAATTAATATAAATAAATATTGAGCCAATTAACACAAAACACAATACCTTGGAAAATAATGGCTAATTTAAGTTAATTAGCTACAAGAGTTTACAATTTGACATAACTGTTAATTAGCTCAATTGGATATATTATAATACCATCTCCAACTCATCTTCTTGGGCGAAAATAAGGCCATGCGCGATCTCTCGCGAGAGCCCAAAAGAAAAGAAGATTAATTAGAAAGTAGTTAAATCATTTATTGATACACACAAATCAATACATGAATACCAAATTATAAGAACATCATAGAAATGAACTAAAGTAAAACCGCAAAATCTGAAATATGGATGGACAAATTAATGTAATGTAATGTAATATGCTGTCAATCTCAGGTAAGATAAAGGAATTAGAATTGAATGAAAATTTTTGAATTCAGAAAGTGCGGGTTTATCTCAATTAAATTTCTAGTACATAATGAAGAAAAAACAGTAGCTACTTGAAATTTGCATGCTCGACACCTGTTTGAGCCAACTTTGGGGTTTACATGAAAAATGAATACTCGACACCTGTCTGAGCAACTATGGGGCTTAATGAAAATTGCATACTCGACACCAGTCTGAGTCTACCTAATATAATTTTTTAATGTATGTAAGTATGTCATCTCCCAATCTTTTGGTAGTAAAGTCATCAAGTCCAAGAATTGTGGCCCATGTAGCTCCGCCTATCCGCAAACTGTGGCATTTATAGAAGGTAGGATCTACCTGACATTGAACAAAGAGTTTGTGAAGAAAATTGTTAAATACAGAAGTATTCACTGGAGCATCTCTATAAATGAAAAGAGGACCTGATTTAAAGGAACTTATGTTCAGGTACAACTTCATATGTAATACTGGACAACAAGATGGTAATTGAGAATTAATTGATATCGTAGCAGGAGATGAGCTATGTTTAAAATGTGAAAAAGTAATAATGAAAAAGGCTTCATCGGGAGAGAATTTAATACTTTCTAACTGTAAGTTGTGTCCTGCGGAAGTACTTGTCAACTCACTACTTCTTAGTAAGCCAAAAAGGCTGTAGATAACATAGCTCTGTACAAGACTTGAGCAAAAGGGTCAAAATCTACTTCAGAAGTTTTAGAAACCATTTGTTCTAACAAGGCTGTGTTGATTGGCAATCTAGTGTCTATGCTAGGATTTTGTTTACAAAAACCAGAAACTATTTGAGAGACTACATAAGAAGTAGTGGGATCCTTGAAATTGTTAATTGTGAAAATATGATAAAAATGATATACCAGACAGAACTGACTTGAATGAATTAGGGGGATAATTCTTTAAACGAAGATGTGCTGCAAAAAGGCTAGCAGAGGCTGGGGTTAGAGGAAATTCACCTATACCTGTCTGGGAGTTGAACTGTACTAATAATCATATGACTTTCTGGTAGACGGGGCTTGGGCAGCTTGAAGTGCTTCTAAAAAGATAAAAAGTAACATAAATTGTTTCTAGATAAAGCGTCAGCAGCAGAATTAAGAATACCAGCAATGTGTTCACTTTGAACATGAAATTGTTTAAGAGACATTTTAATATATAGGAAGTAAGAGTTGCATGGACGTTTGATTGCTGGTAGAAAATTTATTTAGGTATGTTCACTACTGCTTCATTGTCAGAATGCAGGATAACTGTGTGTCCAGGCATAAGTTTTGCCTATGTAAGTATAGCAGTAACAATAGGATATAATTCAAGAATATTGATGTCCAATTCTTTCCATTCTGATGGCCATTCCCCTTTAAACCAAAGATTATTGCAAACGGCTCCATAGCCTATCGTAGTAGAAGCATCGGTAAAAGATGCAATTGTTCTCTTGTCTGTTGTTCTTCTGTAAGGAAAATAGATTTCCCATTAAAGGGAATTAGAAACTATTTCCACAATAATAAATCCTGCATAGATGGAGTGTTGATTAAGATTTTATAATGTAGCTCCTTCATTTTTAGATAGATGAATAAATAATGAAATAAATGATCTACCGAAAGGAATCACACAACAACAGTAGCTAAGGAATCCTATAGCAGATAAAAGTTCTCTTTGAGACTTTCTATGGTTTTGGCTTAATGGTAAAGGGGTTGATGTTACATAAAGTGTCAATGATTGTTTTGCCATGTCCATGAGCAAACAAGCTTCTAATAGTCTTACACAAGAAGCAACCTTTTCCTAAATGTTTTATAATATCTATGGCTTGTTGTACGGTTGCATATTTAACTGTAGAAGTTTCGTCTGGGATAGTATCATTATGGGTTGGCCTATGGGATGTGATAAGTTGTGAATAACACAGAATTCACCTGGAGATTTTTAGGAACGAGAAATAAGGTTGAAATAATATCAAATGGTGGCTGGTCAAAAGGTCCAAGTATTCTACCAGCTTCAAGCTCTTTGTTTAATTTTTGAGAGCTTCTGGGTTCTTAGATATGATGACAAATTATCATGAGTAATGTTGTAATGTTCTGGCAAATCAGAGTGAGGAAATTTAAATCCGTACTAGAAACCATGAACTGTTTCTTCTTGATGTTCATAGCCTTCAAGCCAATATCTGAGTCTTTCAGGTTTAACTGGAGTAACAACTTGTGTTGACATAAGTTCACTCGAAGGGTTTTTTGGAGTCTCCAGTACCTGAGCGCTTTTTGTTGGGGAATTGGGCTTGCCTGCCGTTGTTGCGGGAGTAACATTTTGCAAGTTGGGCAGGTGTGGTTAAAGGGACAAGGGGATATATATTTCAAGAGGTGAGGGGTTTGATCATGAAATCTTTGGGTATAGACAGCAATAAATATACTGAATGCTCGGACCCATTCTGGAAATGAAAGGAATTTTCCCTTCTTTGAAGGGTTTAAATTCAAATGTTTTGATTCAAAAGAATTGTCAGATTACATCTCACAGAGGACATAATCATTGTTTTTGTCTTCTTCAATACAATCATGAATCAATACATGAATACCAAAATATAAGAATATCATAGAAAAGAATTAAAGTAAATCCGCAAAATCTGAAATATGGACAAATTAATGTAATGTAATATGTTGAAAACTGGGAATTGGATTTATTGAAGCTACTGACACCTGTCCTTGTAGCATGGCATTTGTGTTGGGAATTAATCCATAAGCTGTAGAGACGGGTTGGGAATTATGAAAAGCTGAAAGGTTAGTAGAGACTGGAGGGATGGAAGGGTAGGGTTGGATATTAGCGCTTGATGCAAAAGATGGAATAGGGCGAGTAATAGATGCTGTGGGTCTAATTAGAGAGAATGAAATGTTGGGTTGGAATGGAAGATGTAGTGGAATAAGAAGGGAAAGGGGATAAGGGAAAAGTTGTTGTAAAGTTGCCCCTTATTAAAGTGGGCATAGACTTGGCTGCAGTCAGGGTATTAGAAGTGTGATACTCTTCAATAGTAATACTTGGGTTAGGTCCTTCAGTTTTAGACATTTGCAGTGAAATAATTAGTAGTTATATAGAGGGTAAGCAACTTCAAGACATAAAAACATTTAGATAAATATAAATAGAAGCACATGCTCCATGTTAGATGTATATAAATATGATGCCCATAAGGCTATTCATAATGAATATGATTTAGAATACACTGCATAAATAAATGCATATGATATATAAAGATTATGAATTATCATAATATAAATATGATGCCCATAAGGCTAATCATAATAAATATGATTTAGAATACACTGCATAAATAAATGCATATGATATATAAAGATTATGAATTATCATAATATAAATATGATGCCCATAAGGCTAATCATAATAAATATGATTTAGAATACACTGCATAAATAAATGCATATGATATATAAAAAATGAATTATCATAATATAAATATGATAACCTTTAAGAATAAAGGTAAAGTATACAATGCATGAAAAAATGCATATGATATATAAAATAATATGAATTATCATAATATAAATATGATAACCTTTAAGAATAAAGGTAAAGCATACAATGCAAGAATATGAAATATAAAATAATATGAATTTTATCATAATATAAATATGATAACATATCATGTCTAAAGGTATAGTATACACTGCATGAATAAATGCAGATGATATAGAAAATAATATATATTTATCATAATATAAATATGATAAAATATAAGTAAACAGGAAACTAAATTTCCTAATATAAGTATAGTACTTATGAAGGATAACTAAGTGAATAAACTATTGTGAAAAGTTAACGACTCTCTGGCTTATGTTTGGTTAGAGAAGAGTAGCCGTCTCTTCTAATGTTAAGTCTAATTATTATTACCTAATAAATGTAATCAAGAAATCTATTAACAACAAAAGTCTATTGCCCTTATGATGATGAATATCATTTAACAATTTGAAATTGGTAGATAAAATATTGAATTATATTGAATGCCTTATGAAGCAGTATTGATCGAGGATTTGAAAGGATGCCATGAGCGTTGAAATAGTTCTCCAATATAAAAGGCTTTTAATGAAGGATGTATATCTAAATATTGTTCAGCCAAAGTGATGAGATTTTTTGCAACAAAGGTAGATGATCTATGAACCAGATCATTTTCTCCTAGCTGTAATATAGCCGTATCTGGATAGGGATTTTTATATTTTACATCATCTGAAATTGTTTAATTGTATATACAATGATGGTATTATAGTAAACTATGTCTTCCTTTAATTTAAAGTCAAAATGGTAAGATTCTTCTATTTTCTGAACAAAACTGTGGCCTATAATGCTGACCCTAATAACATTAGGCATCTCTAATTGTCTTGTATAATGGGAGAAGAAAGGTAAGGATATTAATGACTCCTGTCTTATCCTCAGAGTAAAGTTTATTATGTGCAATAAGGTGTCAGAAATATAGAAGAAAAGGAATAATTATAGCTCTCTCAAGAGATAAATATATATCAAATAATAAAATGATATCTGTACCTTAATGGTACTATGAATAATCCCAAAAACAACCAGAAATCTCTGGAATGGGATAATAAAATAGAATAGATATATTTATTTAATAGCCTACAAGGTTACTTACACTCGTAAATAAATGAAATATCTATTATTAGATTGGATGGAGTCTATTGAACGTAACTTGAGGACATGTATGTGACTTATTTAGGTCCAAACCTTCTCTAAATTCCGGCTTTGAGTAGAAAGATTAGCTGCCTAGGTGTTGTAAATAATGTAAATCAATGTGTCACACACACAGGAAATACGGCATAATAATATGAAATATATCTTTATGTATAGATTTGAGAAACATCAGCACACATCTCCGTCTGAATCTAATGTTATATTTGATTTCTTTAAGCGAGAATAATTTCAAAGTTTCCTACATATTGACGTCTGGAACCGGAAGCCATTTTTAGCTACAGCGAGAAAATTTAACCATGTGTCAAACTCCGAAAAGAAATTTTGAAATATCTAAAACCAGACAAGCAACGCTTCATCCTAAATATAATTAATAAAAATGATTTCTAGGTGCGTGTAGCAATTTTTACATACGAAATACGAGTACATATGAAATAAATGAAGTTACATCTAGCTGTAAGGTAGAGACTCGAGTAATATGTGACGTGTCCATATTAATCAATAAATTAATTCTTTTGTATAAATTCAAGTTTTTAAACCATATGTACGAGATATCAATTGAATACTTCAAACATAAAACTACAAAGTCATAAAGACAAAAGATAAAACGTGTTTGAAATTTTTTGAACTTTTTTAAACTGACGTTTTTTGTGTGAAATATTACGATAAAATTTTCACAAAACGATTCAGCGATAGATAAATGTATATACAAGAGCTAAATGTCGATAAAAAGAATCGAAATGTATAACTTACATTGATGTTGATGGATTTTGTACGCACCTAGGGAGAAAACCCTCCAACTACAATCCTATCGATATCTCGTCTAAAGTCTCATCTCGTACTCTCGAGATCTGAAGCTTGATGTTTCGTTCAGTGTAACTTACCAGAAACATTTACCTGGGATAACCGGGGAATGGTCTTCTTAGGGCTTGTTCATACCTAAACCTTAACCGACTCTCACATTGCCATAAATGAAATTATTGTCAATAATTTGAATTTCTCATTGTAATACACCAAGTGTTAGGTAATTTCTCATTTGATTGGCAAAGTTCTATGTTACTTTAACTCAGTAACAACAATAATACTTAAAGAGAACCATGATTCAGCTTGCCTCTTTATTTTACTAAAAACTTACCTTTGAGAAGTCTTAGTATCTGTTTGTTTATTTTGTACTTCACTTGGTGTGTCCAAAATGAATCTATTCTGAACTCAATAATTTTTGATTTACTATTTTAAATGTGGTCGATTATATACCCATATAGGGATATATATAGGTACACAAATTTGTATAAATGTTGAATTGTTTTAATGAAATAAATAATAAAAATATATCCTTTACAATTTTTAGAGCCCTTATTTTTGAAAGTGATGGGGAGTGCAAGGTACTAATGGAAGAGCCATCTTATAGCTCTTACAGTGTGATGTCATTATCACCATGCCAACATCTGGTTGCTATAGGAAATATTCATGGTTATCTGAGAGTGCTGAATATTCAGACAGGTAGGAAATTTATTTTGTACATGTTTTGTGAGGTCATGCTTAATGCTTGATAGCTCAGTATCATTTTGTTAACAACTAATTAACATAATCAATTTTCGATTTGCAAAGCTGATAGTTTATTCTACTTTGAAAACATTTTAACTTATAATATCACATGCTGAACACAAATTTTGACTTGAACTAAAAGGGATGAAAATTGTAAATTTTATGATTCATGAAGCAGTTTATGATCTTTTTAGGGATGGTGTCCAATTATCAACAGTTGTGGAAAAAAGAAACTAGTTTCCCTACACAGCCAATATAATTTGGCGCCATTTCGGCATCAAAAAAATTCGGCGCTGTTCCGGCACCGTTTCGAAGTTTCGACACCGTTCCGGCACCGAAACCTTTTGACACCAAAATTTGCCACAGGACTAGTCAGTCCATTTGGTGCTGAAACGGCACCGAAATTTTGCACCGAAACGGCGTCGAAAATGAGATTGCATTTTGGGGGTGTAGGGGGAGGGGGTAAATTATGTTTTTTTATATTCAAGAGAAAGACAAATCAACACTTGAGAATTTCAATACATCAGGGAAGGGGAGGTAATAATTTGACACCATCCCTAAACAAATGAACAAAGGTCATTGCCAAAAGGCCGGTTATGATAAAAGGTCACATATTTTCCATAAATCATAGAATCAAGATTTTCTATGTTGTTTCAATTCTGATATGATAAACTAACTTGGAAATAATATGAGGTTATACAGTTTAATGGTTATTATATACTCACAAGAGTATAACGATATACAGAATCAACCATTATATGATCTTATTATCTCACCCACTAAATTGAGCAGTTTTATATCAAGTCGAAGAGTTGTATATGCTCCCCAGGAGTTGTATACCCTATCCAGGAGTTGTATATCGTTCTCATGAGTGTTGGTTTTATATTGTGGTTATACAATGCTATTATACAATCATATAAAGCACTTAGGGTGGGATAATCTTGATTATAATTTCTTAATTCTGAATAATTAATTTCTGAATATATAATTTCTACAATCACATACAATGTATATTTAATTCATGGAATATTCTTGAACGTCGAAGAGTTGTATATGCTCCCCAGGAGTTGTATACCCTATCCAGGAGTTGTATATCGTTCTCATGAGTGTTGGTTTTATATTGTGGTTATACAATGCTATTATACAATCATATAAAGCACTTAGGGTGGGATAATCTTGATTATAATTTCTTAATTCTGAATAATTAATTTCTGAATATATAATTTCTACAATCACATACAATGTATATTTAATTCATGGAATATTCTTGAACACATCACAAACTAACAAAATATTTTTGTCTCGTCAGAAGTTCTTGTACCTCTTTTTATTGCATTAACATGTTCAAATGTTATTCCATGAACATATACCACAAATATACCGAGTTACAAATTAGTATGGAGGTCCTGCCTATTCCATATTATTGTGTCCGATTTTGCAAATCGGAAGAATACAATGTTTGAATATCTGCTAAAATCTTCAAGAGTAAATAATGTATATGAAGTTCCATAAATGGGTTAATTTTGTGTCAGTAATCACATTACTTTTATAATTCCATTTGATTTAGGTCTAATTGTGTTTTTTGTCAGTTATTTAAATTTCCCAAATTATAAAGGCAGCAATATTCTAAAATTGATGAAAAACCAAATTAAATTGCCATTATAAATAACAAATACATTGCCTTGATGTTCAGTCTAACCATGGGCTCTAGTCTAACATATGTAAACAAGGTTATTTGATTCATGCACATTCTAGGACATTCACTATGTTCAAGTAGCATTCATGATCTTTAAAATAAGTGTCACCTTGACTTTTAACCCTCCATTTATAATCCATATTAGATCCTTGACAAAAACTTTTTAGAAGCTCATTTTCTCTTAAGTTAACCACAATGGTTATCTCAACTTTATGTGACATCATCATCAATAAATCACTTTAATGTTTTTTTGTATAAGGATATTTCAATGGATGATCAACTGAAGGTGGAGAAAAGCAGTTATGAAAATTCTGAAAATTCCTGTCATACATATTTCTTTGTGTGCACACATTATTCACTTTTATGGAAGAAAAATGCATCAGAAAAGTTCATAGTGTCTCAAATTTTCCATTTTGCCTAAATGTTAGATAAAGCCTTGCCGGGAGCCTGGGATTGATTACTACTGTGATAGAAAATGTAAACAAGAAATTTAAAAGGATTCTTGCTGTCTTTTTGTCTGGTGTAGGTGTATGGGGTTGTTCTTTAGCCTCTTATTCATCTTCTGATGGAGGGAACATGAACTGAGACCTGAACACACAGTGACATGGGTCTTTAGTTACAGTCAGGGTGCAATCATTATAATAACAATTGTAGTAATAGAAGGGGCCAAAGAAAACAGGGTAACATAGATAACTTTCACAGCAATCATAGGTGCATTGTGTTTCTGTGTCTTGATTACAAAACAGGAATCCATACTTTGGCAGGGGGCAGTGAATTGTCACGTTAGGATGAAAGGCATTATCTTCAGGAGTAGTATCAGGCTGTTCATCTCCAGTCTGTCGCTTTTCACGATGATGTCTGCTTCCTAAAATAATCATACATTATGTAAGGGTAAATAGAAATGGTTCATATATGATATGAATATTGATATGTTTGCAGTTAGTTTATCAGTTAGCCCCTAAAACATGTGTTCCTCATTTTATCACTACTTTGAAAAGATGAAGAAGTAATCATGAGTGCCATGATTTCACATTTAATATCAGAGATGTTTAAAAATGGTCTTATTTGCATAGTAAACCCACATTCCCATCACATAGTGGTAGAGAAAAAAGAGCGTTCTAAAAATTGGGACAGAGAGACCTTTTGGGTGTTACATTTTTTGTTAGCTAATTGGTTTTTGTGAGAGTGGCCGGGTGACTTGAATGGACACTCCATGGGGAGCATTGGTCAATGTGGTCAATTGGGTTACCTTCTTCCTGTCTTGGGATGGCCCAGTATGCTTTCAGGCCCTTGCACATGGCTTCCACCTCATCTCCAAGGAAACTGATGTCTTCTATTGGATCAATATTAATAGAGAAGCTCTCTCTTATAGGGTCACCACTTCTTTCCTGTAATGTAAAGTATAAAACTCTTCAGAAGTCGTGAAGCCTTCAGAGGTCTTGAAAAAGGCCATGCAAGCTACTGTAGTAGGTTACATGTAGTATCGGAAACAATTTCAGATGGCTATATCTTGGATTATGACTCTTTTCTGACCATGAAAACTGGTATATCTTTTAGATCCATAGTCATAATTCACGAAATAAGCACCTGTTTTCCAGTCTCATGAATTTTGCTTAGTCATTTTATCTAGATTTTCAAACTAGAGTTTTCCTATACTTTCAGTGGTCTGTGATAAAATTCTGACATTACATGTATAATTATAAATGGTCCAGCTTACAGATAGTCAGCATGGAATTATAATGTTAACAAAATTGAAACTAACCGGTATTTCTTCTTTATGTGTCTCTAAGTATTGCTCCAGCTCTCTGAGGCTAGGAAGACCAGGTTTGTTCAGGGGTGCAACATAACAAACTGACTCTTGTCTTTTATTCAGCCACACTCTGCTGACACTTAAATTCTGAATGTAAAAGGGTTGATGTTGTATCATAAGTTTTATTTAGACTGATGATTTACAATAAAAAACATTGGAACTTACTCGATTCTTAAGCTTTCAATAATATAAGACATCTGTATTGCAAACCCTTGTAATTTGATATGATTTCACTGTGATTAAAATACCTTGTACCTAATATATTCTAATCTCTCAAACTGACTTCAAGTTTGCACTTCTATATTTTTTATCTTTGTGGACTCTCATTCATACATCATGTGTTTTAGTTATATTTTTGGATCTTCAGCTTGATTTTGATACTTACATGTTTGTAGTCCATGATGAGCTTAAATTGAGTCATATCATCATTTCCCTCAACTGTGGCAGTTTCTTTATCCTCGTCAATCTGGATCTTCTCTTTCATGTATCTGCCTTCAGCATTTATCATGGTTGTTTCAAATGTCTGTTAAATGTTTAAAGGTGGGATTATTTTCAATGGTGTATCATTCAACGACCCTTCCCAGGTTGATTGCAATTTGATGGCAAACTCATTTAAATATGAATATTTGCAAATATGACCTATATATATAAGATATATTCATGTTACACTTAAGGTTATCCAATGCAATTGTCATCACAGTTGTCCAATAAAATAAATAACACATATATATTGCCTAATAATATGTCTACAAAAACATTTCACAATGTTTAAGTAGATGGTAATTATTTTTTGTGAAGCTATATTATATAACAAAAGAATTGTGTACATGTAGTATCTTGCATGTTTGTCCCATTAATGTATCAAACTCACCTTCAATGTATTTTTATGCATCATATGCATTGCTCCAAAGAATCCTCCAATCACCATGGCAACAACTAAGACAACAGTAACAGACACACAAACATATTTTCTTCCATTCCTTCTAGGGGCAACACTTGGTGTTGGTTGAGGCATCTGAAAATAATTGAATGAGTAATTTAACATGTACAGAATATCATATGATTTTGAGTTATATCATTTTTATAGATCTATTTTCCCCATTGTTCACATTTACAGAGGTCTCAAAGAAACATATGTTTGAAATAGGGTTTAGAAATTCTAAACCCATATTCACCATATACAGACAAAAAAATGGATGTAATCAAAGTTGCGCAGTATGAAAGTACTCGGTACTTACAGGGCTAGATGTAAAAATCCGGACATCCCCTTTCTCCTCTTTCCCAATACTAATGTCTGGTTTCATTTTGTGATGTTGGCCAAGTTGCAGCTCCTTTGTCAATGTTGCTTGTCTCACTGTTGCATCAGTCCCTTCTAAATTTTAAGTAAATTCTGCAATGTTTTGTATCTGAATAAACTCCTCCTTGTTACTCCATACACCTTTTGATTGGATGAATAAATGTCATTATGTTAAATGACTAGGGTTTATAGTTTTTCGTAGAATTAAAACTTTTCTTAAAGGCTGTTGTTTTTGAATTTATCCTTTGAAATAATTCGCATTTAATAACAAATACATATTGATAAGAAGAATATGATTTTTTTGTAATAGATGATCATATTCCATTTATTTCTCTTGTGATTGAGAACTTGATACTGTAGATTGGATTAATTTGGGGCTACTTAATTTGGTGATTTTGCCATATTGGTGGCTATTTCATTTGGCGGACACTAGGGCTTAGACATTGCTCCGACGCCACAACTTCCATACAAAATGTTAACCCATTCCTTCAATTCAACAACTATATCTAGTAATTTGTTATCAAAGTGATTCTCCTGAGCCAATTTAGAAATACACCAGACAAAATTCCTGGGGATTCTCTCTAAATTTTGGCAAAGATGTAAATTGGCATTTTTTTCTATTTCGCCAATTTAAAGTGGGCGCCAAGTTAACTCTATGATTGTCATGCATTAACTCTAATATATGCAGATGACATTGTCCTCATGGCCCAGACAGAAGTAGAATTACAAAGAATGCTATTAAAGGTCAAAGAATATAAATATCTTGGTGTTACTTGAGAGAACATTAAAAGAATCAAAAGAATCACCCAACTTAAAATACATTGAAAATACACTGAAAGCTAAGAAAATGAAAAATTACATCACCATGACCCTTGCAAAACAATGTATTGAAAGGTTTGATTTTAGGAGCGTAATGTTCAATGATGTCGCTATTTTCTGCAAATCAATGGTACATGAAGTCCATGATGTATTTAACTGTAGATTATTACTTCTGGTTTTGTGCACCTTGAAGTTGAATCGAATATGATTGTCTCGTAAATGTACCTAACAACAAGCATGTTCAAGAATATGTTTCATGATGTGATACATTGTCTATTACATTTCTGCCATTTGAATTATGAAATTTATGTATTCTTAAGAAGGAATACTTAAATGAGATATGCTTCTCAATGGTGATGTCATTTTCTAACGATTTTAAATGTTGTTTTAAATGATTGCTCAACCTCAACCAGAATGTTTTCGAAAAAATCTCTTTATAGTACATGAATGCTTTGAATACAAATAAGAAGATGATACGTTACCAGGTAGACATGATAATAAATCATTGATTCTTAAAAAATCTATTTTGTTAACTTGATGTTCATGGGATACTCTTTATATAAAGTTTTGAACATTTAAAACATACCTTTCTCAGATCCTTCTTTTAAAATTAGAAATATGAAATATGAAATCGACATGAACTTGATTGCCAATATATAGAAATCCAGGTAATTGTATATTAGAAAATAGAATGTGCCCGGGGGATAAACTTGGATTTCAATTCAAAATCGGATAAAACTTTAGGCGAAGTACTGTGAGATACGAATCATCGATGGTGTCACAGGATGTAAATTTCTTACAAATGAAATACATGTAGTCCTACTAGAAAAGACATGCTTGCATGGGTAAAAGACATACATGCTTGGGTAGTCTTTCTTCTTGGTCCATCCATAAAGATTTTGAACTAAATTCTACTTTAATTGGTTTATTGAACTACTTGACCACCCACCCTTGCTAATGAGAGAGTGCTGCTTTTTAGTTTATACAAAATTGCCCTTTACCCTTAACTCACTTATCAAAATCAGATATGTAAACATTTAATACAAATTAATATAGGTCTAGGAAACAGGGCATATAAGACATGGCTGTGATTGTTGCTGTTTTAGTCTATGGTACCATAAGATACCACATTTTTTGGTACCATACAGAACAGTACCATATGATACTGTTAGTTATTGACTGTGTAGTTCAGTGGTAAATCACTCATCCAGAAAATGATGGGTCATTGGTTCAATCTTCACTGGGAAACATGTTAAACATGTGAGATGATGTAAGCAGTATCTTAATGAACATAATATCTTGTTATTGTCCCGTTATTGTCCAGGGCTTGTTAATAGTGTTGTTTTTTTAATCAAGGATTCTGTTTTTCTAGTTGGCTACTGTTGTCCAGTCCTTGACTTTGTCTATGTTAGTCTTAGCAGTATGTGGTTCAGTTATACTAGTGAACAAACAAGGCACAAAAATACAAGGTGCAATGTTCAAGATCTAACTTGTGAATTGCCCCATATAGAAATTAAACCATGCACACATTATTATGATCATATGATGTTGTTATTTTAGATTCAAAAACATTCCAATATTAAGTTTAAGATAACTTTGCAGGTATTTACTGGGAAATTTATAACCTTGGGGTAAATACATGAGAGTTATCATATCAGTATATTTGGCAGGTGAAGAATAAGGTCTACAATGAATCATAAGAGAGCTTTCGATATAAGTTATTTGGTCAACTTGTACTTCTAAATAAAAACATACGACATAACGAAGGCAATTAGTCAAAAATCTCCAGATGTTGGATATACTGTACGCCCGGTATTATTCGCGTGCGATTAACTTTCGCGCTTTTCGCGAGGGTGTTAAAATCGCGAAAAATTATCGTCGCGAAATTGCCAATTAAATCCCCGGGGATTTGTTTTTACCCGGGGCTCTGATGCATTTCGTTTTGTCTATTAGTTTGGATCGAGTTATAGTACTTCAGTAGTACTGTGCAACTCCATGACTTTACTATGCGCATGCGCGGCAATGAAAGAGCACGTGCGCACGATTGCTCACGTGATCGTAGCCTGCAATTTGATTTGACATCACATACTGGGGAATGTACTGGGAACTGAATTTCATATACTGGGGAATCCCCGAATACGATAAAATACAGTATTCGCGAAATTTAATAGCCGCGAAACCGTGTTTTCGCAAAATTCGCGAAATTAAAGCTCGCGAATAATACCGGGCGTACAGTAATGTAACATTCAAATACAAACCATTTGTAACATTTAACTGTACTTGTTATCACATGAGTGGGATCTCTTGGTCTAATATGAAAATGGAAATACCTATGTGAGATGCACATTAAACATCTATCTTAAAAATTGACTTAGGAGATGAACATTATGAAACACACTGTACAAATACTTGTGAGAGAGTTTATTATGGGCACAATTCATAATAATCAATTTCAAATTGATTTTAGTGTGGCAAGACCTTTTACGTATATGTTCTGGAAACAACTTTTATCGAAAGCTCTCTATAGTTTTGGTGGTCCATTTGATCATATGGGAGACCATTTGCCTTAATCTGTAGTTTTCTTTGCAACAATTTATATCATGGTTTCCATTACTATTTTTCTGTTTTGATGGAATTAAACAAAATGAAATAAATCAGTTACTGAATCACTTGGTGATTTGTGCAAAATATAAATATGGAGAATGCTTGGTAATACATTTGTTTGGTACCTTTAGACATTGACATAAAAAATAAGGTAAAGCCAAGGAAATAATTTTCTGAGTATACTCATTAGCAAACTTACCCTGTGTGCAGAGTCTAGTTAAACTACACTCTGTCTAGTAGAGACCATATTACAGTTTAGTAGCCCCGCCCCCACGACAGGTACCGGTGACAGTTTGTGTAATAAATCACTTCTGACCTACGCGCTGACCTTTCTTCCATCAGTCAGCGAGCTTGAAGAAACATACGCCAAATGCGTGCTATTTAAATATGCGCATGTCATTGGTCAATTCTGAGCTCAACGATGACGTCAGAAGGAATGACCATATAGAACGTCGGTCAAATTTGGCCGACGAACACTGATTGCCGCGGTGAGTTCACAGGTTTATTTAAGTTTGAAAGAGTGAAGACGAAGCTCTCTTTTAAGAAGTGAAGTCAAACGAATGCAAAGGGTATAGCAAACTTAGCTAATGATCTTTTCTAACATCTGTATGCATTTTTTCTATTTACAGGAGTAACTTTGTTTGAGAAGCACATCTATACAGGGAAGGTGTTTAGTGTGAAATGGCTGTCTGAAGAATCTGTGCTAACTAGTGGTCCTGAGGGTGAGATTGTAAGTACAACTACTAAAGTAGAAAAGCTTAATATACTGTAAGCCATACCTGAACTTCATACCATTCTTTTGAAAACCTGAAGTGGCACCAAGCCATCCAATGACTTTTTCACCGAAAATCTTAGATGGCTGCCGCGATGTATCAAAAAATCATAAAAAATGACTTATCGTTATGATTTAATAAGTCAAAATAGTTGTATACTGATTAAACATGACTAATAATAGTACCTATCAGAAGTCATATCCATTTAAAGTCATTGGATCATTTTTGTGTGAAAACTGGAGTCTTTGCTATATGTACTCTCATTATGAAAGTAATCAACATGAACATACTACTTCTCTGGGATAAACATTGATTTAGACAGATGTACAGTAAAACCTATGTAATATATCCCATATGCTCTTCTCATTTGGGGTAAAAGTTATGAAAAGGTGATTTCAAAGTACCAGTATAAACAGAAGACTTGGAAATAGGTATGTTAAGCCAATTAATGATGCTGTATAAAATATGGAGAAATTTCCAAAACCCAATGTACTGATGTACACTAATTATTTTAAATTAATAAAGGCATCTTAGAAATAATTTTGAAATGACTAATACAATAGCCCAAATATGTTTTTATGTAATTTATAGTCTAAAGGTGTATTATTTTTAGATACGATGGAGTGTTGATGCAAATCTTGGAGAAGTGGAAAGAAAAGATGTGTGGATTCTACCAACAAGCAAACAGCGATGGACAAGTGCTGCCACCTGGATTCAGCAGTATGAGCTCCTCATTGTTGGCGACAGAGTTGGTTCTGTTCATGTGTATAAAAAGTCAGAAAAGGTAAGTTTTTGTCATACGAATATATTATCATTACAGAGGGCTCTTCAGGGCATACAACTGAGCCCCCCCCCCTCCCAACTGATATTGCTTAATGCATTTTTGATGAAGTTTCTTCTTACCTATAGAAAATGCATATAAGTAAATATAAGTTCAGGCACCAATAACTGTGGAGTGGGATTCTGATTTTTTTTCCGAAATTCAAATATTCATAAGAAGGCCAATTTATATGTTTGCTGTTTTTATACTGATTTATTAATGCATAATGGTATGAGATGCAGAGATGTACATGTATATTTAGTAAAAGTTCAACCCTTTTACAACACCACCAGAAGGTTTGTTATGGCCAAGTATTTTTGTGACTGACATATATCGTTTGCAATTTATGTCAACATCTGTAACAGTCAATACTCTTTTGGTGATATTTTGTCATGATAATACCTTATTGCAGGGTTCGTACACACCTGGAAATGTCAGGGAAATTGATTTATTTTTCCAGGTGCTGGAAATGTCAGGGAATTTTAAAATTGGGTCAAAAAGGGCCAAAAATGTCAGGGAATTTTGAAACAGTAGATGTGTCAGGGAAATGTCAGGGAATTTTGTATCAATGTTGAAAGAATAATGTTCCAGCAAAATACATTTTAGGGCTATGACAGGATATAAGTGAAATCCAAAATCATCTAGCTGTTTCCACAAATTGCAAATCTTTTCATTAGGGTTGGTTGAATGACATTAGATCTGGTATTGTCTATTTGTAAGAACAGTGTGAACATTACACTGAAACCGAACAATAAAAATAATGCATAGATGATTTAATACAATTATGCTTTTTTATGTAGTAAGCTTAGTCTTAGGCCATTCAAAGGTAATTACTGGTATATATTTCATGGTTTGATGAGGGGTTAATCTGAGGGGGGGGGGGCGGGAAATGAAAAACAAAAAAATTCTGGGAGCTCTTTACAATGTAAAATTGTATTTATATTAAGAAGCTGTCTGTTCGACAGTCCGATCGTACGTCAGTCTTTTCAACTTTCAGGGGCTTTGCCAATTTTGAAAACCTTAGCACATGGAAGTAGGCAACCAAAATGTGTGTGGGGTACTATTAACAGTTTTTGAATTTGGTCCAAATTTTTCTTCTTGTAAAGATGAACCCAGCATTTTACTTTGGCTCAAATTTTGTATGATGTAGCCTTAGGGACAAAAGACCTGCTCAAGAAGAAATATTCAAGATGGTCTCTGAATTCAAAATTGCCACCATTTTTTTATGAAATTTTTGATAATTTAAAGAAATTTGATTCCTGATAACACAAAATACTGATTATTTGATTTGGTATCATAGGCCTGAGCCTTTTTGTGATCTGGTGATGCTACTTGAGAAGGAATTTCTAATATGGTGTCAATTGTTTTGGTGTAATTTTCCCAAAAGGGAGAAGACATAATAGTAATGCCAGGTTATTGCTATCATATAATGTTCACAATGATAGTATTCAATAGAAATATGTTTCATTAGGTGGGAATTGCCCCTCAAGTGAGTTGCTATTTTTCTAGTAGGATTTAGATCAAAATTTTAAAGTTTCAGTTGTCATTTGGATTCATTACAAAACATTAACAAATTATAGTTTGAAATGCTTAGAATGCACCATATACAAGTGTCAATTTTGAAAAATTTCCGTACCCCCCCCCCCCTTCTGGTTTTCCTTCGCTCGCAGTGATGCAAACCCCAAAAGATGCACCTCCTTGATACTTGTTGGCTATGCCCCTGTACATGTATGTTTACCTTTGGCCTTATGCAATGTAAAATATGTAATATTAAAAATAAGATGTATCAGGAATAAATTGGTGAATAAGACAGCCTGTACAAGTAGTTAAGTCATGAGAAATGGTACTGAAGGAGAAACCCCAAATGTTTCATAATAAGTCTTTTTATCTTGAATAATACAGTTGTTTGAGACTTTTTAGAGGGCGCGCGAGGAAAATTAGATCTGGAAATTTCCTTTTTTGCCTGGAAATGTCAGGGAATTGTCAGGGAAATTCATTTTGAAAAAGGTGTACGAACCCTGTATTGTCTATTATGTCCCCTCTTATTGATCTCCAGAATGCAGTCCAGTCATTCTTCAAGGTCCATGGCCAGGGAGGTACCACTGATGTCCATTACCACCAAGGCTCTGTATATACAGCTGGGAGAGATGGTTGCTATCGGCAATATAGTATTACTCAGAATGCCACATTGCATTTACTCTACCACCAAAAGGTTTGTGGATTGTATTGTATTCTTACTTGTATTGTACATTTGTAATTTGCATCTAGACAGTACCACGATACCAAACTCTTGAATAACTGAACAGCAAGTTAGTAAAATTAACTTAAAATGGTAGAAAAAACCTATAATCTAAAAATTCCTTCGGATCCACCTATGACTCTAAAGAAGTATGTATGTTACTGACAGCTCATTATTTCAGGTTGCAAAGGGATTTGAGTGGATAGAACGCCTCATCTTTTCCAACAGTCAGATGTCAGTGCTAGGATTTCATAATGTAAGTGAATTTGGAATTCATTACCTATTGAAATAACATCATCTGGAAGTATTTTTATTATGAAAAAAGAATTGAAAAAATATTTTATCAATCAATAATATCAATTTCAGATAACCATAGTGGGCATTATATGACACATTTTAAGTCAGACATAGATAGTAGCATTCATCACACAAGCAGATCCCCAATCTGTACATTTCATGTTTGATGATAAACACGGGAATGTACACGTGAAGTGTCACCCGTTTACTGTACATTTGATGTTGAAATATATATGAATAAACAAATAAAAAAATAAAAAATTTACTAACCCTACAAAACCCAACCAATGGGAATAAGATATGAAAAGTATAGTATTTTTGATTTTCATGCAAAATAGTGCAAGAAAGAGGTGCATGAGATATTCCAGACAGGCTACTACTTTTGATTCTAATAATACAGTCCAAGTAATAGTGTCGGATTATTTCATCTGTCACGTTCTTGCTAAATAAAATACATGTACAAATATGTCAACTTCATCTTTTAGGACAAGTTTGTTTGCTATGATGTTGCTAACAGTGAAAGAAAGGTGGCACTGCAGTGTGGAGGTGGGCACAGGGCCTGGGATTATAGCCAGAGGGGCACAGATGTCAGATTCGTTTGTGTCAAAGCAGGGACTGTCCAACTTCATCGTGCAACCATTAATACAGCCCACAAAACACTGAAGGTAACTTCATGTACATAACCTGAACCTAATAAAACATGGTTGTTTAATCTATTAACCTCTTGAATCCCAGGCTCTAAAATTGGCATGAAACCAGAGAATTTTTCATTTTTTGCCACCTTTTGACATTTTATTACATACCTATACAACTTTAGATGCTCAGCTTAGTAAAATTGGACGGCAGAGATCATTTCTACACGTTTTAAAACAATTTTTGTGTAAATTGGATGAAAATTGTTCAAATGAGAGCAATTTTTGTGAAAAATTTTGTGACGGATTTTCTCGTCCCTCTGGGCACCAGTCTTATTTCATTTGTGACAGATATATCCGTCACTCTGGGTATTCAAGAGGTTAATTATGGACCAAAGGACATGGAGGCAAAGCTTGGAAAGATACAAGTGTTTTAGTCTCGTTCAGTTTAGCATTCCGCGAAGAAGGGTGCAACAATTTTGGAATTCTTTGACCTTGTATTTTATGACATTTCAGTCTAGTCTACATGGGAGGGAACTGACCTGTGTGAAACATCTATGCAGTATTCAAACACCAGGTGGAACCACTGTTTCTGTGTGTGTGACGGGCAGTGAAGATACCTTTATAAACATAGTTGCAATCAACCAAAGTATCCTTTTCAACAAGCTTAATCAATTATTTGGTATTATTATTATTTATTTTATTAATTATACTCTCACTTCAAACAGTACTTTCATGGATCTTCATATTATACGGTAGTTAAGAATATATATCAGAATTAACGTTAAATTAGAAGCAATCCAAATGTTTGATGTCATGCATTGGTTTTTTCCTTGTTGAGGGATTCAATTTCCATTATCTCACAATATTCAGTACATGTAAACTTAACCAGCATTTAGATGATGATGACCTTTGTCAGCTGACAGTGAAAGAGAGGCTCCAAGGTCATGTGTCCAGTGTCCGTTGCCTGGCAACCAGCCCAAGTGCCATCTCCATAGACAAGAAGTGTGTTGAAACTTCATCCACCACTTCACCACACTCCATGATTCTTTTCTCTGGTGGTGGGAGGGCTCAAATCAAAGTTTGGTGTATCAATATATTTACAGCCATGTCATCAATATCAGAAAATGGGACCAAAAATAATGCACGTGAAGTCCAGTGTCAGTATGAACTACTTACTTCATACACAATGTCACAATCATTGAAACGACAAAAACATTGGCGATCGACTCAAGTTGATTCCAACCCTGAGACCAGATTTATGGACGTTACAGCTTGTAACCTCGGGGAAAGTTTAAAAAATGATGATCTACATGGTTTTCATTTTCTAGCAGCTGGGTGCTCTGATGGATTTTTAAGATTCTATAGTTTTCAAGAAAAAACAAACAATCTAACATTAGTGGGGGACAGTGATTTCCATCAACATTGTGTTCTAACAATTGGTCATGAAGTCATTACTATAGATGGTGCTCCGTCATTAATTGTCTACTCAGGAGGAACAGATGGTAAAATTGCATTATGGGATATCTCCAAAATATTCTCAAAGACAACTGAAAAGTCTGAGTTGACTTTGGATGCAGATATTTCCCCTGTGTTGATACTACCTGCACATCAATCTGGTGTAAATAGTATCTGTATACGACAGGTTCATGACAGTGAATACGTAGTGGCCAGTGGAGGAGATGACAACTCACTGGCGATACACCTATTGACAGCTACACAAAAATCAGAAAGTCTACAAAGAAACACTTTCCAGCTTACATTGTCTGTGATAAAACGTTGTGTACAACTCAGTGCACATGGGGCTCAAATCACAGGTATTCAAGCCCTTGAGGGTGGTGACATCATAACAGCTTCTATAGACCAGAGGCTGAATGTATGGAGAATCTCTCCTGATTTCAAAAAGGTAAACACTCATTATATTATACCAAGTAGTAATGATTTGATTTATTACAACACTACTATTTTGATTTGATTTATTACAACACTACTATTTGGGATGGTATTGAGATTGTATATTACAACACTGAGTGGAAATTGATTAATCATTTCAAGTGTATTCAAGGCAATTGACCAATTCTTAATAATATCCTGGTCAAAATTGGATAAGTTTTTTTGAAGAAATTTAACCTATAGCTCTCCTCTTAATAAGTTGCCTATACTGAGTGAATATGACAGCAATTTGTCAGAATGTCTGGAAGTATATTTTCTTTGTTAAGTGGAGTCAATGGAACTTATATTTATCTAAATGTGTCGTGTTGCATGTAAAATATAATACATAAACCTCTTTCAGATTGACTGCATATTATCTCGTTATGTCAGTGTTGCTGATATAGCCAGTATGGATCTTTCAAATGTGAACATCACAAACGAAGACTCCAGTAGCAAATGGTCAGTTTTTTTTGTTTTTTTTACTATTTATTTATATATTTCTACAAAGAATACATTAAACAAGTGCACATGTGCTTGTGGCTGGGCATCAGCATTATCAGCCACATATGCAGTATGTATGATGTCTGGTGAGTGAAAACTGCAGCTACACCACTCATTTAGGATATTTCTTTACTCAATGATGCTAACTTTCTGTTGATTTATTCCAAGTGCTACTGAGATAAGTATTGCATATGACAAGGAGACCACCATAGACCAAGGGAAAAGTACTATTAAGCTCAATATAGATAGAAGTGACTTTCATATTGACCTAAACAGTCCTTTTCCCTTGGCCTATGGAGGCCACTAACTTAACTTCTTAAAGTTAATATTTAATTGATTTTATGGAAATTCAATCTCAAAAGATGTTGAAGATTTTGACATATACGGTTTTGTCCTGAGAATTGTTCCTAGATTCCGTAAATATTCGTACCTCATACTAAACTTGAGTGGGTTTGGGGTAGATATCACCAGGGAATATATATCATATCTGAGGAGTGGGCAGGATATAGTGTATATGTGCCGCCCCAGGCCAAATGCAGGCAGAAATGATATATCCATCCCACTCCCGCAAATTTGTCAATATAATTATTATTTTTTCATGCAGTGTAATGATGCATTGTGGGACTTTTTCAGACGAGAAATTAAAAATAATTCTGAAAATAGTGGAATGAAAATCTGGAAAATTTAAAACATATGGATAAAAGACATGAAATGAGACTAATTTGAGTGATAAAGAAGGAGCTACCAACCTAATCCATGTTGAGGATTTTCTATCATCTACTGAAAACCCACTCAAGTATGGGATACACCAGTTATGTACGGTCAGTTTTGGATATAGGATATATCCCAAACCTCCCAGTACACAACCCTTATACATTTCTAAAGGTATAAATCCTATATCTGAAGCCAAACTAGTATAGTATATCTACTGATATTATGTCTCTTGCTTGATGAGTTCTCAATAATTTAGTGGTTATCCAATCTCAAATTATTAAACCCGTTTTCTTGGTCATCATTTTATAAATATGTGTCATAAATACAGACCATTCATTGTTCATTTGCAATTTTGATAATAATTTGAGGAGTACACTGTACTTCCAATTTTCGCTTCCAACAGTAAAACACTAAACAACACAGAAAAATTCTAGAGGGTGGGCAAATACATGACAGCTGTCCATTCCTGACTTGAGTAGGATATATACAATAGATCCAGTCTGCTCCTCAGATATGAAATATATTCTCGGGTGTTATCTACCCCAAACATCTCTTAAATCTATTAATTTCTTGATTTGTTTGATTTCAGGCAGGACCAGACTGTTGTTGTATGTGGTGAGGGTTTCCAGCTTTTAAAACTTAGAGGGATTGTTGTAAAAAGGACACATCATAAGGAAAATACTACATATGGAAAATACTACATATGAATCTGTTGTACATATCAACAATATGTCCTCAAACTGCAGTCATGCATGGCTTTTAGGAAGATGAACTTAATATGAACTTTGAAGTTTCAATACATATCTTTATATGAGTCACCAATGTTTTGTGACTGGCAACTTTCTTTTTTCATCATGTTGATTTAGTACAAACTGTTGTTATGGATAATATAGAAAACAATTATTGTGAGAATTACTTTTGCATGTACCTCATGTGAAGATGTCTAGTTTTTTGTTTTCATCTTGCTCCAAATTGCATGTCAAATGGTGAGAGGATAGCAAATAAACTGGGAATTGTGTGTAAATGTGAAAACATCTTGTACAACCACTTGGTTTAGAAAATATTCATTTAATTTCCACCAGGTTTACTTGATATGATTAAGGATTCCCAGATGTTTTGACCTGTTAGGAGTTGGGTCAATATTTCAATGTCTGTCAAAAAAATGTAATTGATTACATTTGGGGGGGGTGTAAACGCTATTTTATTAGGTGACAGACATTGATTTTTACTTTCCTAGTGTTTCTGCGATTTCTGGTTTGTAAGGCATGGTGAAAAAAATACAAATCAACGTTGCAACTACTTTTACACCGCGCATTACATTTTGACGGGGAGGGGGTTAAGACCTGACTAGATTAATTATGTTTTTTCTTTGTTGAAGGACACTAAAATATTGATCCGGCCACTTATAAGACCACAAGGTTCACTTAATTCATCTACATTTATTTAGTTCTTCACAAATAACATTTTAGTTTCATTAGTATTATACATTTTGGATACACCTTCTACCCTCGGTTCATAGTAATGTCAAAACCTAGACAAAATGTAATTTACTAAGCACCATATGTGTACTTTATAACACCGTTGCGAATACTTTTTGAGTATATGCCAAGTTTTCTTTGCAGTTTATAAAATCTAAAATATAATATGTCTTAGAGACTCTTTGAATTTCACTATTCAAATCTTGGATATTTGTATATAATAAGCATGCTGTAAATCATATGGATTTAAAATACAGAAACGCATATAAAATGAAACTTTCATATTTGGAAAATTTCATATTATAGGTGATCTATTACCATACAAATGAGGTCACTTCATTGTTATAAATCAGTGGGGTGTATCAAGATAAGGTACAAAAGCCTTATATAAGATCATCCAAAACCTAAGGTATACAGGTCCACACAACATGAGATATAAAGTATAAAAACCTCCAAAACAAAAGTGATAAGATCTTCTGGAAATGTTCATTTTTGTAAGTCATACAATTATGAAACATTTTTCATTCTGAAAGTTTTTGTGAATATAAGTTTTCGACCCATTGGAAACATATGTAAGAGGGTTTAAAAATGATTTTGCATAAGGATGTCTTAAAATAAGAAGACAAAGCCTTATATAAGATCATCCAAAGTTAAGGTATAACAGTCCACAAAACATTTCTTCCAGAAATGTTCATTTTTGTAAGGTATATGATTCTTAAACGTTTTTTTTTATTCTGAAAGTTTTTGTGAATATATGTTACACAACCCATGGAAACATGTGTATATGTAAGAGGGTTTATAATTAATTTTGCATAAGGAGATCCTGATTGGAACCCACTTTCATAGTAATTACTCAGAGCATCTTATTTGTATGGTATTAGAACAGGGTAGATTAAATATTTTTGTTTTACAAAATCAAATTTTCATTCATGAATTCATTCTTAGAATATTATGTTCATTTAGGCTACATTGTTTGTCTGTTTTGCTCTGAATGGTCAGTTTGCCAGTAGTTGCCTACAAGATTTTTGTCCTGTGACTTATGGTTCATCTGTAACAGGATCTTCAACAACTCCGATATACATGTAGATGTTTACTGGTATGTACTGATAATCATAGACACAGTCGCACATATCGTTTTGCACTTTTTCGGTGCAGTTCCAAACAAAACACCATTCGCGTATATCCCACTCACCTTCTTCATTCAGATCATAAAAGCGAAAGCAAAAATAATTCTTGCAACACTTATAATTGCATGATTCTTCTGTATCCTGGTTACAAAGGAGGAATCCATACTCTGGCAAGGGGCAATCTCTAGTGACGTTGGGATAAAACATGTCTTCTTCATCATTGTCATCCCGCTTCTGCCGCATCAGAGCCTTCCCTGTAAAAGTAATAATGAAGTGCATACTTTGAAAGTGAGACGATTGTCATCAGAATATCATATGCATGGTGGAATCTAGACAAAGAAATAATAATAAATTTCCGATATAATTATGATAAGCCTTGCCTATTTTCGGAACCTTGCCCTGAAAAACGCACACCAACATGTAAATGTTTTAAGCTACAGTCTACCCTAGAAAATACTAGCTCTCACACATATATTATCAGAGCTATAGTTTTTTTTTTTTATCAGGATTAATTTTTAACCTTGTTTTGGTGGGTTCCTGGGGTGGGCCCAGTATGCTTGCAGGCCCTTGCACATGGCTTCCACCTCATCTCCAAGGAAACTGATGTCTTCTATTGGATCAATATCGACAGAGAAGCTCTGTCTTGTAGGATCAAAACTGCTCTCCTGCAAAATAATACAGCATAGCTCAGAAAAAGGCCTTGTTTTTGTTGATGACTTTTGCTCAGTCATTTCATCTACTGGAGATAAAAGAACATCAAATTGCAGATTATTTGACAATATTTTATGATGTTTCATGATGATCTAAAAATCATGGTCAAATATCTAAAGGACATTTGATAAATTATATGAACGTATAAGTTGCAGTAATTATAGGTAAATAAATTCTCAAAAATTGAACTCACAAATTCTGGGTCTGCTGGTTGTTTTTCCAAATATCTTGCCATCTCTTGGATGGTTGGAAATCCATTCTTGTCTAAGTGTGCTACAAAACAGCGGGGCTCACTCCCATTCATCCAAATTCTGCTAATACTTAAGCCCTGAATTCAAAATGTGCATTCAATCAAAACATTATTCAAATAATGTTTTGTATTTTTCCCTTGAAGCAGCATGCATGTTTAAGACATATTACATTAACATTGCAATTACAAGAGTGCATCATGTTAAATTCATGAAATATATATATATACTTTTGGCTGGAAAGAAAATACTTTCACATCACACTTGGGTAACCATAACATTTATAAAATTAAACTGTACAGTGATTACATCCAAAGTAGAGATATATTCACATATTCACTAATAACATCTTTTCAAGGACTTAAACATAGTTAATGTTTATTTTTTATGATATTTATATAGCTCCTGTTTTTTATGGAATGTATGGTATCAAATCATGTTGTATTTATATTCTTTATCCCGTACTGAAACATGCTTCAGTCACTTACATGTTTGTAGTCCATAATGAGCATATATTGAGTTTGATCATCGATTCCCTCCAATGTGGCAGTCTCTTTATTCTCATCAATCTGGATCTTCTCTTTCATGTGTCTGCCTGCAGCATTTATGGTTGTTTCAACTGTCTGCCAATGATTATTAAAAAATGAAGCGAAATCTGAATATTTACATACTATAGCCAAATGATCGACATTAATTTGCTCAACTCTGTCATACTATCGTCAAATGATCAACATTGTTGTGGTCAACATTTTGAATGTGGTCAACATTATGGTAAACAATAGTCAGATCATAGTAGATCTATTATGGTATACATTATAAGATGATCAGAAGTACCATTCAAAGTAAATGTCGTACTATGGGTAACTCGGGTCAATCTATGGTCAGTGATGGCCAATTACCATGGTTACATTGTCTAGATGCATGTTTTTTTAACCAAAACAATTTCAACTATCTGATACAGAACTGCAGAAATACTTGCAAAATAATGTAAAAGTTTTATTTATACACAGTAAATACGATGGATGAAATAAATGAACAAAAATACACAGACTCTTAAATATTCAAAATGCTTACTTTCAATGTTGTGTGATGCATCATATACAATGCTCCAAAGAATCCTCCTATCACCATGGCAACAACTAAGACAACAGTAACAGCCACACAAACATATTTTGTTCCATTCCCTTTAGGGGCAACACTTGGTGTTGGTTGAGGCATCTTTAAAAACATTGTTATTATTGAGTAATTGTACATACATGTACTTACTAAACTAAAAACTAAACTAAACTATATAATTTAAAGTTGTTTTAAAAAATCAATCAATACATAAACAACTGTTGTGCAATTTCTTTATAGATATCTACATAAAGTTTTTTAATAAATCCACAACTATTGTACAATATCTTACTACGAGGCCAGATGTCAAGATCTGCACATCACCTTTTACCTCTTTTTGAACTGAAAGATCTGGTTTCATTGTGTAAGGTGTTTAAATTGCAATTCACGTGCTGTATCAGTGTTGCCTGTATTGTTGCATCCCTTCTAGTTTTCAGACAAACACCCCACCAATTTATTTAAGAATTAAGTGCTTATATGGTAGTGACTTTAATCTGATTGGATAAAGAAATCTTATTTGTTAAATGTTTTAGCTTCAGAGCTTCTTTGTGTAAATGCTACATAAAAAGGTTAGAATAAAGCTATGAATACTATCCTTAAAGGATGTTGTTTGATGTAATAATACTGTATAAGTGGTAATTTTGCCTAATCATTTAATTTGCCCTTTTCCTAATTTTTGCCAGGTTCAGAAAATTAAATGTCGGAAATATTGTCTTTAAAATGTTATCCAATGGAGGTTTCTGAAGGTTTCTTGTCATTAGGAAAATTAAAATTAGGAAAATGATGAAATTTGGCGATTCGGAAAATTAACCACTCGCAATAAATACCACTTATACAGTAATTTGGAAAGTATTGTATTCTGCATTGTAAGTCAATCTTAAGGAATAAATATCACTTTATAATTTTCCATAGCCACAGTAATATTTATAGAATACCATGTCAGAACAAACATGGTATTTTTGTAACCATTAAAAAAAGATCATATTGCTGGTAAATTTTCACTAAACCATAGATTTTAACTTTTAAAACCATGTAATACATTTTTGATGGTTTATGTATTTTTCCTAGTTGACTCGAACAAGGCTGACAGTAAGAATGACTGGCTGATCATTTGGAAAGTTGTCCATTCATTGATTAAAATCATAAATCATAGAATATATTCTGTATGATATTTTCATATATGTTTTGTAAGAAATACAAGATAGTTGTGTCAGGACAAGGTACTGTTGACAACTTACATAAGATTAATATGAATAGGGTCTAAGTTATTAGAGTTTCATTTGTGATCTCATTCATTGAATATTGTCTGTATATTTCAAATGTATATTCACTGTTAGAAGTTTATTTGCCAAAGGTTATACCATTTTTATTACAATTACCATTCTTATTCACTAAAAATAGTAAAAATTTGGAAATAGATAAGCACTTTTTCTTGTTATTACAGTAACATTTGCATATATGGAACATTCTTTTGGCCGAAAAATGTCTAGTGTAGGTAGATGTTTACTATACAGAGAGTAATTTATACAGAACTCAGTAGAGTAATTGTTGAGGAAGGGTGTTCACTATGAGACAGGTGTTCATTAGAGAGAGATCAGCTCAGGTCACAGATTGTCATGTGATCCCAAAAGTTTATAGGGGTGAGCATCAGACTTGAAGGCTTTTGTGGGGGGGGTGTATAGAGATATTGTATATCGTATAAGAGGCTGAAAATTTATTGTATATTGTATAAGAGGGGGCAAAATTTATCGTATATGGTATAAGAGGTGTAAAAAATATGGTATATGGTATTTTAGAAAATATGGTATCTAGAATTAAAGAAGGCTAATTATGAAGAAATTGTACCCTAAAGTTCCCCCATTGTGCCAACTCTCTTACTGTAACCGTGTTGGAAAAACATGGAAAAATAGTCTCTATAATTGTTTTCAAATTCCAGGTCAATCGATACTGTTAGTTTAGAGAAAATCCCTCTCAAACTAAGAGTTTTGTGCCCTTTTCATTCAAATTTTCACAGGAGGTGTTAAATACAGTCTCAAATAAGAATCACGCCCGGTGATCAGAAGAAATGAACGGAGGGGGAGTAGATCTAGCTGATTTTCGGTAGAAAATTCAACAAATCTTGAAGATTTATTTTTTCAAGAGAAAGTTTACAATTGAATGGCTAAATGAATAGACGCAGTGGACGGGGGAATATGTTAGGTCTTTTTGGATTTTTTTTAACTGTGGAGTTCTAAAATAAAAGATCTATTAAAAAAGTGCAGCGTCGCCAACATGCAAATGCCAATGTTTTTGCTATAAATCAACCAACAGGGGTCTCCACGACCTGTAATAAATACTTGTAAGTGAAGTAATTATCACAAAACTATTGGGTTTTGTAAAACATGTTACCATACGTTATATAAAAAGTAATCGAAAATTATTAAAATTGAATGGAGGGGGGGGGGAGTAATTTGTCTATAAGACATATGAAAACTTCCAATAAATCCATATGTCCCCATTTTTCACTTTTCAGAGTTGTAACATCAAGTTACTGAGTAAGTGAGTTCATTTTTCAAGTACATGAATTTGTGGAAATTTCTTCCACCTTAAAGACATTTTACTCCCCCCCTCCGTTCACTCCCCCCCCCCCCCCCTCCGTTCAATTTTAATTATTTTCGATTATTTTTTATCTATCATTTGGAAAATCATTTTAAAAAACCGGCAATGAATTTTGTGATATAAAAATGTCGCTTATATATTTATTACATGTCGTGCAGACCATTGCAGACCATTGGCATTTGCACGTTGGCGACGCTGCGCCTTTTTTAATAGACCTTTTATCTTAGAACTCCATCAGTTCAAAAAATCCAAGAAGACCTAACATATTTCCCTCTGCACTGCACCTATTCATGTAGTCATTCAATTGTAAACTTTTGCTTGAAAAAATAAATCTTCAACATTTGTTGAATTTACCGAAAATCAGCTACTCCCCCTCCGTTCATTTCATCAGATCACCGGGCGTGAGACTGCCAAATGTCATTGACCATCTTAACTTTCATGAAAAATATGGTCACTATGGCTACTCGTGTTTCGGGGTATGTGGGATAAATCATGAAAATATTTGAGTATAAAGTGTTCATACAGCGCATGTTTTAATACAAGCATCACAATGCTAATATAGCATAATATAGCAAAAGGTGTTTATTTGGTCTTCAAACCGTCATGTGTTGGATTTCGGCTATTTATTGGGGATTTGAACAGGTGCATATGTTAGGCCAATGCATTAACTCCAGATCAAGCACTCATAGAGGTAATAAAATAATTTGAGACAGGGAAGGTTTTTCTGAAATGTTGTCCTTATTTTCAGCCCTTTCCACATATGTTTTTTCAATGTTTGATGCACCAATATGTTGCACTTTGAGACACAGTTAACCTCTAAAATATGATTTATTTGGGATAAAGTGGAAAACAGTACATGTGTTTCCCATGTTATTTTCCCATAGGGAAAACTCATGTGGTCCATTGTTTTCAGCTCAATTTTGGTCATCCAAAATTGATATCTTTAAAACCCCTGCATGAATCATATTTTCATTTAAAGATCTTAACCATGTCTCAAAACGCAACGAGTGATCGATGCAACAAACATTGAAAAACAGGTGTGGAAAGGGCTGGAAATCAGGACAACATTACAGAAAAACATGTTGATGGGGTGTTTGCACCTTCCCTGTCTAAAGTCCAAATTATTTTATAATCTCTATGACTGCTTGTCCTGGAGTTAATGCATTGGCCTAACATATGCACCTGTTCAAATCCTCAGAAAATAGCCAAAATCCAATATATGACTGAAATCTGTTGCGATACCATCCATGGTCCTTTAAAAGAAAGTTATTTCTAGTTACATAGAGTAGTTTTCATTCTCATCAATACATCTTTGCCTTGAAATCATCTGTGAAACATGTGGTTTGACCTTCATGGAAATTTGCTTAATTTTGACACACCTTTGTTTAACTTATACTGTCTTTGAGGCTGCCTTATCTGAAACCACGAAGTGTCTCATGTTTCAAATGTTTAAACAATCAAGTCTCATCTTGCCTTTATTTCAAACTCTAGTTTCCAGACTCGAGTCCAATCAAAAATGAATTATCTACATGTAAGTTTGTGAAGTCCTTTATTTCTGAAACTGTTTTAAATACATAATATTTTCCAGGTAACTGCTTTACAAAATTATTGTGCATTGTGAATCTTCATTATCTATCTGATAAATATTTTCCTCAGCAAACTTTATTTTCATAGAACACATGATGAATCTTTTATTCAACATTCTCAATTTTGCATCAATTATGTTTCAAGATTTTTTTCCCTGGCTCACTATGAAGGACATTTAAATAAGTCATGGGAAAGTAGGTCATAAGAAAGAGGAGCACTTGGTTCCACCCATTCCAATGATGCAGGTTTTGTGCTAATTTTGAATATCTTTATGGTACTTTTACAGGTAATGGGCTAATGGCTTTAGCAAATTGCAGCAATGTCATAGTTAGTTTTTTTGGTCAAAGTAGGTTGCTAAATCACTAAAGAGAAGTCATGAATCTTATATCATAAATGTGTTTTAAATCAACTTGTTTACCTGAAAATAAAATGTGGTCACAGCTTTTCTGATGCTGATGCACCCGAATGGTGTCTAATTCATAATGAAATAAATGAAATCATTGTGGTAAGTACATGGATTCTCTCCTAATATAATATTATTTCCTTATAAATATCCAAACTTTAAGACCAAGACCCTCTATACACCCCCCCCCCCCTTTTGTTTTTATGTCTGGTGGTTTTTCATGAAATCACTAGAATTATCTTCAGCATTGCAACTCAATGATGATAAACAAATTCTGATGAAGTTCTTTTATTTGATATATAACATAAGGATATGGCACCATTGAAATTCAAATCTAAAATCTGCAAGTTGATTTTCATAGAATAAGCAATGCCCTTTAAGACATACATTTGCCATTTAATAATGTTTTACCACTTTGTATAAGAGCCAGGCTGATCATGAATCAGTGGCTGTAAAATAAATTATCTTTCACTTTTCTTTTAACGAGGGTATTCATGCAATCACCGAGTCTTTTTAGATGGATCCGTGTTATTGCAATAATAAATCAAAATAGAAAATGTCCAACAATAAAAACAGAATAACTCTAATATTATTCAATGGGAACTTTTATATCATCATGACTTGACATAAAAAGCATTCAGCGAAAAAAACTTTTGTGTCAAAGTCAAATATATCATGAAGAAAAATATAAAATAACATCCAAAATACTCTTTGTCCTAATAAATACAGGATAGACCATTTTTATATGTGCCCTATCATCAATGCTTACTGTT